GCAAGATACAGATATCATATCTTTCCCAATCCCATAAGTCATGACACTTAAAAGTGGAAAATAAAGAGAGTAAAATATATTAAGCATTGCACAGCCAAATATGTCTGATGTTGTCGCTGTTATGGCTCGGGTCTGTCACACAATCACCGCCCACGTACGTGGACAATTGAAATTCAATGAACCGCCCTCTGATGAAACTGCAAACTGCCAACTACCGAGAGTTACCAAAATAGCTTGACAAAAGTGCACTTAATTGGTGGCCCAACTACCATGTGTGGGATGGAAAGATGGCAGCCGAATGGAAACCAAATCCAATATGGTTGGAACTGGACTGTGTGGGAGATCTAAGCCCGAATACATAGAAATATTTTTGGCCAATGGAATAAAAATCGAATTTTGGTTTCATCTTTAAATAAACGACTTGAAATGTCATGAAATTCTATTCGTTTTTCAGACCCAAACCGGATGTTAACGATTAATGATTTTTTATCGAAAATGACTTTTAATTTTTTATGGGACTTGTCAATGCACGACATCAATTATTTTGTTTCGGTATTGAGTTGCAGGTGTAGCTGTTTTATTGTCGAACGATCATGGTGTTAATTGTAAAAGTAACTGCAAGTAGTCGTTAATTTTGTCATTTGCTTGTAGATATGTTTATTTTTCCAATAGTAATATTTACAAAAATTGTTTAATTCTTTCTTCAAAATAAACACCATCATCTTGCAACGTTGCTGCATCTTGTACACAAAATAAAATATTTAACCGCATAACTATTTTTCAGAAAACAAGTTTCTTTCATAGCCGACTTCTCATGCGTTTTTGTGGCCAACACACGCACTTTTAAAGACCGCTCGGTGGCAGACATTGCTGCCGACACACTTTCGTTTTTGCCAGGCCTGGATAATTTACATTGACGGCGAGTCAAGTGGTTCCATTGGTTTTTCAGCCGAGTTCAACGAGCTGCACTTCACATCGTTTTTATTATACCCTACCAGAGGGTATTTTAGTAAAAAAAGTGCAAAGCAGTAAAGGAGGAAAATAGGATATCTAAATATATAAATAAAAATAAAATAAAACATATTTGAAGAATTTTAGAACATAAAAAAGCTTTTTTGGCTAATCACCTTTCCGTAATCTCTAATAACCTTTGACATCATAACCTTGGCTCTTAGTGCCAATTCCGACACACTCTCTAGTAGACTAATCTCTTATCAGGAACTTTTAAGCTCAAGCCCAAAGTCGAGGATGATTTAAAAATCAAGAACCATGAGTCTCGGACCTTCAGTTTAAATTTTTCTAGTGACTCTTAAAGACAAAAGTTTCGTTAAAACAAAAAAATGATCTTTCCTGCGGTCCTAATTTTTGCGATGTGTTTCGTTTCTGCCTCCCTTGGATCGGATGAAGTAATAGCGGTTTAAATATTTTCATTTCATAAATTAATTCAAGTTTAAATTTCATAGTCTTGTTATCTATCGGAGGAGAAGGAAGACGAGTGTGCTTCCGTTTGTTACCCAATCGTAAAGCCTCTTCTACGATACTTTGAGAAATGCCAGGAAAAAGATTCCCAAGCAACAAAGTGCCAGCGAGATTACTTGGAATTGCTCAAAAAGCATTCAGACTTGCAGGAAAAGGATCTGGAAATTCATGCCCGGATCATCCAGGGTCAGGACAATTTCTTGGAGTTGGAAAAAAGGCATTCGGCAGTGCTCCTTCAACTTGATGAAGTTAATGCTAAGTATGAAAACCTGCAAAGAAAGCATCTGGAAGTTGATGATTATAAAACTCAAATACATAAAAATAATGAGGAAATCAAGCTGTTAAAAGATCAAATTAATATCTTAAAAGAAAAAAGTGATCATGGAATGTTAACAAAACAATTTGGCGAAGACGTTACAATAGATGAAGAAATATTAGAAAATGGAGAAGTTTCAAAAACTCATGTTGTGAATAATAGTCATTTCGATAATAATACAAAAGAAATGGTAGTAGAAAGCGGACTGGCTATTAACAATCAGACGAAAACACAATTCACAGGTAAGTTGGCAGAATAATAGAATTTTCCAATTAAAATATCGAATTTCTTACCTCTTCCAGATCGTTGCCCACAAACTCAAAATACGAAAAGGATCCTCCAAGAAATTCAAGTTCCAGGGGCAGACCCGATGAAAGTGACTTGTTATTCACATAAGAGTATAGGATCGGGTTGGATAATTGTTTATCGTAAACATCGTAACACAAATGAATTTAATCGAAAATATGAAGAATACGTAAGTGGATTCGGAGGTGATGGAGTGAAGTTAAACGATAATATGTTTATCGGTCTCGAAAGATTGCATCTCTTGACGAATGGAAAGCCTTATGAGGTGGCTTTAAGCTCAGAGGTGGGAATCAGAGAGATATGCGATAACTTTATTTTGGGCAATCGAAGTGAAGGCTACATGGTAAAAAACATTGGAAAGTGTGATAATGAGGGACTTAGTCTGCGCCTGAGGCAAGGAACGAAATTTTCCACCTTTGATCGCGATGAAGATGGCAATCCTGAACATAATTGGGCCAAGGAAAATGGCTTTGGCTGGTGGTTCCCTTCAAGGTGTGTATTATAATTTTGCTTTACATTTTGTTATATCTCCAATAGGAATTTCTAATAGTAACTAATTTGAAATAATGTAATTTTTATTCTATTTTTATTTACCAGTTTCGATGGCCCATTACATAAAAATTTTATATCATTGATTATCCGACGAAAAGATTGAGGAAAACCAACAGCTTTTCTAGGTGAATTTTTGAAAATTATAAATTATTAGAATATAATAGGCATTTTAATGTAGTTATTTTATTTTTAAAATTTGTAATGTAATCTGTACTCTTATAAATTTTACACTTTTAATTAAATTTCCGTATAAATATTATATTTAGATAACTGGTGTTTTTTTTTTTGTAAGAAAATTTGAACTTTTCTGGATTCTATTATTGGTAAACTCATCGGATATACAAAACTTCACTGGGACCTTCCAACTATATCCAATTATATAATCAATGGTTCGGAAATGCCATAACTCTCAAGATGATCAGATAGAAGCCTCCATTTACCTGCAAGAGTATATATACTTCGGCTCTGCCCGAATATAGCTTTTCTTATTGTTTTTATTTTCAGTTTTTTGAGCCCCAGCTCAGTTTGCTGGCGAGTGTTATGTAAGTGTCGAGGGGACTGGGGCGACGAGATTGCTGCCGACTCACTTCTGTTTGCCGGCTCTGGGCTCTGTGGGTTCCTGATGTGTTACTTTTGGGCCAGGCCAAGCCTCGTATCTGTAGCTGGGAACTGGGGAACTTGGAACGGTGCAGGCCAAGTACTACACACAAAAGCTTGTCAACCGGTTTCCCCATATTACACCATTCCCAGTGGCCCGTATTTTTGGCAGTACCTCGTCGCGGCGAGATATGAATGATTTAGTTTGCTTGCGGTTCATTGGCCCCTTCTAACGCCTTATCGCGATATTTTGCATAATGCGAAGAGTAATTTTTGGTAATAAATAAGAATTTCCTGCTCGCCGACAGTTGGCTGAATTTATAAGTAAATTTCAAGAATGCCAAATGAATCGAAATGAAAGTTTCGGCCTAGTCCGCCGAAGGTCATTAGTCAGTAAGATAAGGGCGCAGACCAGAAACCGAAATTAGTTTTTGGGCTTAAACCAAACGCAGGCAGTATCTTCACAATGGTTTGAAAGCGCTTCTCAGGTTTATTCTGCTCTACTTCTTCTGGCCAAACTTCTTTCCCACAGGGCAGACAATTATTTATTTAAATTGGTTGTAGGTTGTACATGGGTAACTGGCGAATGTCTATATTTTCAACCAATGGCCAATTGCGTGACCAGCTGGAACTTGGTTCAGTGAACTCAGTTAATATTGCGTCATTGGCCAGTAAAGCTCGCCCCTTGTTGCCCGGCTAATTATGGCAATTAAGAAGTCATAGCCAAAGTTGGATGATAATATGCAAAACAATGGGTATGCTTTGATTTAAAGTCCCCTATCTGCATAAATTATACACCCGATTATAGATGACGTGATACGGTATAGAGATGGTGGTCTGAAGGCCTAAAGAGATCCCAATTTAATGGCAAGCCCAAAAGAAATTTATTATCTGGTCTGTCACGATTTTTGGCCCAAATTCTGCAAGCGTGCAATCTGTCAAAGATGCTGGGATTTAATTATCTGGAACTGTGACAATTGCTCAACCGATTTGTTGTGCACTAAATAATTAATAGTTTTGTTTATTTCTTGAATCAAATATTAGTAAAAAACTATTTTTAGAGCATAACGGGTAGTAGATTGCATGATAAAGCATATTATTCCCAAGAAACCCCATTAGAAACAATTAACGCTTATTTCTCCCAATTCCCAAAGCTGTTGTTTTTTAGAAATCTAAGCTCACAATCAGCTTGTACTTAGCTAGGTACTTAGTTAGTTAAGATTGGAAAGATTTATGTTGTTGGAAATTAATTACGTGCCTTGTGAGCGGTGCTAATAGTTTTTACAACCTTTTTTTTGCCACCTTTTCCAATCGCGTAAGTACCTTTAAGATACAAAAATGACGCATCAAATTTAATTTTTTGCTGGTAAAGTCATTAAAAATACATCATACCCTAGACATTTGATCATTTTCTTTATTTTCAATAGTAGTACTGAGTTTGCACTCGTTGAAATCTCAATAGATATTGAGCAAGTCCCAAGGGTTTCGTAAAGGAGTACTTCAAGTAATTGAGGTTTGTGGAAAGTATGTATTCATAGTGCTATTGCTTAAGGCCGAATTCGTCAAACTGTTGGCATTTATTGAGCCATCTGTGAGATACTCAAACCACAAGATACTCTCAAAACACCATAAAATCGAAAGTACACCCAGAGAAATAAACTTGGATAGTATTATTAATTACATATCTTCAAAAAATCAACCTTATAGATAGTATCTATCTAATAGTCAACGGAAGGGATGCAACACCTACCTTGACATCCAGTACAGTTAAGTAGAACTGTCGCAGCGACGAGAACTGCTAACTGCATCCATGTGAGTAGTAATCCTTTTGCAGTTTGTGTCCTTCCTTTGATTGCTGTTGTTGTTGTGGATGCTGCTGGGGCTTCGGTTTGACCCTGACGACGCGTTTCCCTCGCTCTGGTTTCCCTCACCAGTCTGCTCGCTTTCCTCCACATTTTCGGCTGTGCGATTAAAACAAAAGGCGAATCAAAGCAAAATAAATTTCTCTCAGCTCCTTGGTCCTCCTCCTTTCGATTTATTTATTCCGTTTTTTGTTTCGTTTTTTTTTATTGTAGGTGCTGGGGGTTTCCCGGGGACCTGCGCTTGCGTGCGTGGGTGCCAGGGGGATAGGTGCTGCGGGCGGGGGCGGATCTGGTGCTACTGCTCAGGTGGGCTGGCGGCTGCTGGCTTTCAGAATCCGACTCCAATTGAAATGCTTTGCTTTGTTTTGGATTCTTTCGGTTCGTTTGGTGGGATTTTAAATATTATTGAGTTTCTGCCCAAAACTTGGCGGCAAAATATAATCCACCGTAGCTGTTGTTGTTGGCCTCCTTATTTGGAGGTCCTTAGAATCCTCTATGTACACACAAGACCCTGTGTTAGTGGCCTCCGATATGTACATACATATATGTATCTAAATGTATTTCAATTTCGCCGTAGTTACTCGAAAATTACTTTAATGAAATTCCTTTTTTTTTATTTTATTTTATAACAATAAAATTATTAATTTTATGCTTAGCTCACTTATAAATTTCTTTTAGAAATTTCTATAATTATTGCACAATTTTCACATTAACATTCAATACAGTTGTTTGAAACGCTATTTACTTTCAGTAAACGTTGTTTTCATAAAAATTTGTTAATGAAACTATTTAAAAACAAACGAAAAAAGTTGTATTTTGGGCTAGGCCCATTTTATTTTTACGGGTTTTTAGTTCGCGCACTAAAATTTGTGTTATTTTTCTTATATAGATTCAAAAATTAAATTCATAAAACAGATTTATCATATTTATGGTATTCGGTTTTGTAGCTATTTATATAACATTGTTGAAAATCCGATTTTGATCCTTTTTTTTCGTCTGGTGGATTTTTCAGCGCCAAATAAATGTGGAGGAAAGTTGTGCGGGAAAAAGCGTTACGTCGGTGCGACAGTTTCGGGAATTGGCGGCGGAGTGTGCCTGTCGCAAGCGTGCGCCAAAGCGCACCAACTAAATACCAGATAAGTTGTGGTATTTAAAATACGGCCATACCTGAAAAAATACATTATACAAATACAAATAAATTATATATTTTTCGTTTTATTATAAATGTTTGTTTGATTTTTTACGTTTGGAACGTTATGTCCAGCCCGCAATTTAAAATTCGAATTACATTTCTATTTATATTCTTCTCTAATTTTTGAAATAAAAATACTAAAAAGTATCGGCCGAGGCTACCGTGCATTTCCGGTAGATGGCGTACTCAAAAGCCCACGAAATGTTTGAAATTTGAGTGGCGTGCGTTTGTTCAGGGACTTTAGTTATTTAATTGTGTTTTCATAAATTTCATAATAAGTAGGCAACAAAACTGCAAATTCCTGAAAATTTAGATGAAAAGTTTGCTAGTTAGGTAAAATTAGGCAAATGTGGTAAGTCTTCTTTTAAAAAAAATTTTCAAATTCCAAGAAAATTCAAAAATTGCTCGGCTGGGTGGCGCACCGTTTTCAAATTAATCAGCCTCAATGCTAAATCCTTGTCTTGTTATTATGGCAACCGCGTAGTTCACAAAAGAATGACAGATTCAAGGAAAAACAGGCTATGCAAAATATTTTATGCCCCTCTGTATAAAAAAAAGCGACAAAAAGTGCGGGAGTTTATTTTGGTGCGGTTTTGCCTTGCCAACTTTACATTTGCATTTGCGGTGAATTTATTTTTTTTATTTTCATACCACAATATAATCCTTTTAGTTCCTGTTTGTTAATACTCCTTGTACATTTTACTTGTGTGCATATATGTATATGTGCATTAAAAATTGCCGCAAAAAGTTTATTCTCTCATTTATCTTGGAAATTGTCTTTATGCAACAGAAGACAAAAAATGCTCAATATATGTACGTAACAATTTATAGGCTTACAAATAGTAGCTTTAGAGTCTAATTCCTAGAAGTATATGTATGTAGTTTAATAAAAGATGCAAAATGTATGTGGCGGGGAAGAGAGAGGTTATTGGTGGTGGTGCCATGTCAGAATTCCGGTAAAGACAATGGGATAAAGTTTTACTACATTCAAGCGCGTAAACACTGCAAGTCTCTTCTACGATGGCATTCTATTTGAAAGGGGTGAGGGAGTGGAACTATAAGTGCAAATGGAAGGACGAATTCCTGCGCATGTGCCAGACCAACGAATCCTGAAACGGAAGAATGAAAATGCCGGCAAATCCACTACGAAATACAAACGCATATCATTAGGGATAGCAAAAAATAAAAAGTGTATTTATAACATCATTTTAAACTTCATAATTTTTACATTTTTTCACACATCAGTGTCTGAAATTTAAAAAAAACGCGCCTCTGCTGCCCTCTAAATGTAAAGTTCGAATTTTCGAACTCGAATCGGGTTTTTTCTTGCATGCCACTTTCAACTGTCGTTTTAATGAAATTTTTGTGATTGCCTCCTCCTGTAGAACATTTTGTTGGGATTATTTTAAGTACCACACGATTGTCCGTGTATGGACTCAATTTAATTTAATATTCTCGTTTCCTTCGAAATTAAATTCTAGCCGAGACTCTAACCCAACCGTTTAATATTTAGTGTTAGAAAACACGGAGGTAGTTGGCAAAAGAGTGTTACCAGACTTTATGGTATGGCTCTTAAGGTGACCATATTTTTTACACGTAGAGGAAAGAAAAAAAAATCGGGGATTTCCAATAGGGATGTCTGGTAACACTGTTTTATATTCAGCTAACGTAAAAGTTTCTATAGAATATTTACATTTACAAAATTATTTGTAACGGATAGTGAATCTACTAAAAAAAAAAAGCGAAGTACAACGGACAATGCACTAATGTAAAGGCCTAGTGGCAGTGTAAATTTTGGCGTGTTCCCCGCGTGGAACTGCATTTTTATTTCTTTCGTTTCCTCAGTTTTGTGTGTGCGCTTGTATGTGAAGAAAAAAGAGTGAGAGCGGCGAGGAGTAAAGCGGTAAGTACTAATAGCCAGACAGGGATAGAGAGATAGAGCAAAAACCGAAAAGCAAAAAGGAAACGCCAAAAAACAACAACCAACGCCTCGCCTCGCCTCGGCGCAGGAAAAGTTGCAAACGAAAATTCAGTGCTCAGTCTGAAAACTATAGAAATCATAAAAGAAAACCGAATAGGCTTTGAGTTCAGGTTCAAATTCTGATTCCGAGTGCAAAGCGAGTCGGGGGGGGACTCGATTCCAATTTCTGTCAGGGGCTGGGACAGGAAGGAAGGAAGAAATCATAGCAGGCACTGGTCGGGTAGTCAGTATAAGAAAAAAAAATTATAATTTATGTAAATGCAAAATTATAGCAAGAATTTTTATCTTTTCTCTTTAATATAGAAAAAAAAAAATTACCGTGAAATTTTTGCTCTAGCCCGTACGTTGTTTTCTATATTTTTGTACGTATGTACGTGTACGTGCCCGTCGTCCGTCTGCACAAATGTGGATGTGGATGTGCATCGTAGACTCGCGTATTTTTATACATGGAATATCTGAAAATTCCGGATCGAGCGAACCGCGAAACCCACGATAAGGACGATACCACGACACCGGAGCATATACCACAAAAAGGATAGGAGTAGACTTGGAGGGTATCGCAGAGGTAGGGCTTATAGATCGAGCCTCCAATCCAACACGTCCCCAAAAATCACACACACGGATCACAGGGACAACCCTCCACTACCCACTAGGTGGGTAGCTCAACGGGTATCCAATTAGAAGAAGAAGAAGACCACAAAACCACACGCACGTCGGGCCACTAACGAATTTCGGGGAATCTTCTGGAAAGGAAGTCTGCATCGGAGTCTGAAGCACAGGAAGCGGTAAGTCACCAACGAGTAGCATTCGCTAGCCACATACGCATCTGATTAATAATCTTCTTTGTGTGGATCACATTATTTGCATTAGTTATTGTTGCTGCTTTTTTAGTTTAAATTAAAAAAAAACACACACACACACCTACCCATTCATTCACGGATACACTTGCACTCCACATGCCTCACATCTCCCATTGTCAGCGAATTCCAATCAGCCGCCAAGAGGAGGTACCAATTAGAGACGAACCAGCTCTCACCCACACAGAGGCTCCAACTGGTTTTGTTTACAAACAAATAAGAAACAAGTGAGCATTTCTGGGCGATAAGTTTTCGTTTTCCTCGCCAGCGAGTGAAAAGGCATGCAACGCGGTTGCATTTCCAGCCTCCTCTTCTTCTGTTCAGCGGAAACAGGTTTCTCCCCCCGAGAAGGTGCTTGGCCTCAAATTGCAGCAGAATTTGTTTTCTAGGCCAGCAAAGAGCTCAAAAACGCGTATAATACAGTGGAAACTGGTCAGGGATTTCTAGATAAGATGATATGTAAACGTAGAACAGTATATAGGAAGTATAATGTACAAGGTCCTTGTAAGAAATTGTTTAAAAATCGAATTCCTCCGAAAATTAATAAAAAATGTATTGGATAATGTTAAGTATTTAATTAAAAAATACCTTACATCCAAATGCAATCCATTTTTTGGCAGTTTCTACTGTGCCGAGAAACGAACGCCAAACTGGTTGAGACCCTCAACCGTCAGCAGGCCAACAACACCTCCCACGCCCCACGGCGGCTGGCTCTTTGTTTGCGGCAGAAACTGACTAATAGCGCCACCTGTTGTGTGTCATCAGCCAGGAAGGCGAAGTGGCTTTGTTAGCCACTTTCCAACCTATATAGACCATTGATAAAATCGACGATAAGGTAGTGGGTCGGGCCATCTTCGAATTTAGTTTCGTTTGTTGTCGCGTTCGCCCCACAAGTGACATCATACTCCACATTCCAATTGGGGAGCTCAATTAAGAGTAAAAACTGCCAAGTGAGAGACAAGAAGGAGGAGGAGGGAGTGCATCTGTATCTGTATCTTAGAATTGTTAGTCATGACCGACCTGTATATCTGTACACTCGATTTGCATGCATGCTGCTTTTTTGGGTTGCTTTCTCACTCATGCCTGCCATCCGCCCACCGTAGTAGACCGCTTCAAACTTTAATACGCCAAGCTTACCGCACATCACCATCACCAGCTCCATTTATCACTTCCATTTCCATCTTACTAACATTACAATTTGTACATCTGTTTTGTTCCGGCCTCGAATCCGGCGCGAATTCTTAATCCCCCCGTGTGTGCGCTTGCGATTGTGTGTGCGTGTGTGCGATTGCGATTGTGTGCGATTTCTTGGCGTGTCCAGATCAACCGAAGGTCCTCCTATGTTCCTGCAAACGGGAGGGGGTGGGAAGGGAACCAGGCAACAGTCGACACACCAGCAGAACCACAACCACCAAGCCCAGCACCACCAGACGGCGCACTCGCACCACCACCACCTCCAGCAGCAACAATCAGTAGTCCAGCAGCAGCCGCCCCAAACGAGAACGAACCTCTTGCAGCAGCAGCAGGAACAGCAGCAACAGCAGCAGGCTCACGCGCTGTTCGTCCCGAACCACACCGGTCTTCATCACCACCAGCAACAGCAGTTGCTCCAACAGCACCACCAGCAACAGCAGGCCCAGCAGCAGGCCGCCCAACAGCACCAGCAACAGCTCCACCAGCAGCTTCAACAGCAGCAGCAACAGCAGGTGCAGCAGCAACAGCAGCAGCAGCAGGTCCAGGCCCAGCCACACCCCCAGCCGGTCATATTCTATCCCCCACCGTCAACCTACACTAGTCACTCGGCGGCGCCAGGCAACAGCAATGCCGGCGGCGGCGGCGCTGCCCTCCAACTGAGCGCCGCCGCCAGCACTAGTTCTCTAGGACATCCGCACAGTGGGGCCGGTGGCGCTGGCGGTCATCACCATGGAGGAACCGTTGCAACCACAACCGGGGCCAACCTAACGCGCGCCCTCAGCAACCCGACGCTGCCGCCCCACTTTCCGCAGTCAGCTGGTCTGGCTGCTAGCGCTGCCCCAGGGGCGAGTTACATCACTACCACCTACATACCCTATAACCCGACCAGTCAGCTCATGGGCATGCAACCGGCGGTGTCGTTTCCAGCCAACGGAGCCGCCGGAGCTCCAACCGCCTTCTATGCAGCAACACCGCAGCCGCCGCCACAGCAGAAGCAGCTGCCACCAAATAGTCAGCAGCCCGGAGGACCGCCGGGTGGGGCAGCGGGAGCTGGTCAGCCGTCGATTACGTACTTTGTAGGGACTCCCCCGCCCAATGCCGGCAATGTAGCCAACAATGTGACCACTGCGGCCACTACCCTTCGGGGCAATATGCGGGGCGGCCAGAGGGCGGCCGCCACGCCTCAGCACCCGAGCTACTATGCCGCCTACGCCATGGCGCCGGCCAACGCACCGCGTCCCACTCCTGCAGCGGTGGCGCCCATGATAAATTCGCGCAACGGGGCTCTTAACGGACCGGCCGCCTTTCATCTGCAGCCCAACTTTATGCCTGGACTGACCTTAGGATCGCCGGCCGGAATGGCTGCTGCACCCATGCTGGCTCCGGCCGGAATGGCCGCCCCGCCACCTCAGCAGCCCGGCGGCCTGCACACCTATGCCCAGCACCTGCAGACCACGAATGCCACTGCTCTGGCTGGCGTCCAGAATGTAGCTGGTGTGCCAGCCGTGCCGACCGGATTCTCGGCCACATCTCTGACAACTGCACCAGTGGGCGGAGCTCCGCAAATAGTATCCAGCGGCGACAAGGTGCGCCGTCACGCCATTCCCATCATCCACCCGGACACAAAAGAGAACGTGCTAGACCCCAAGAGCTCGGTCTTCATCAAGAAGGACTCTAACTCGACACTGACACCCAGCACGGGCCTGGACTCGGACAGCAATAGTACCTTGTGTCTGTACCAGGCGCCTGTTCTTCTGGACTCCACCTCGGGTTCGTCCCTGGTATCGGGCGTTCCGGCCCCGGTGGACCAGCAGATGCAGACACTAGCCGCCAAGGCACCCGAAATGCCAGTCTCCCAGTCAGGTTCCGCAGAAAAGCTGCCTGGCATTGTATTCGGCAGCGATTCAACCTCTGAACTGGATGACGGAAATGTGAATCCGGCTATCACCACCACAGACAAGGATCAGATCAGTGTCATTGTGAAGGACATTTTGGCCCACTCGGGCAATACTGAGGAACACCTCAGCTTCTGGCAGTACAGCGACGGTGAGTCTAATGGGGGTCTCTCCATAAGTTAGGATGGAGAGAGGGTACTTTATCCTTAGGTGTTAATCCATAGTTGTCATTGTGACATGTGTCACACTTGACTGGAGAACCCAGTAACCTGTCAGGTTATTTCTGAAAATTATTATCCGCCTGTTGGAAACACCAGTTACTACAATTGTTTTCGGTGAATTCTTAAAATTATTTTGTGAAATCAAATTGTTGCCACCCATTGTTAAGATCAGTTAAGATACAACCCTACACCCATATCAGGGTATGTCTGGCGTGCCGACTTCTCCCCGCATTCCTACTGGCCATATCTAATAGCTTCTCTTGCAGTGGACAATGCCACCGACAGCCACGTTAGCCTGCCACTGGTACACAAGGAGTTGAACTTGCCGGAAGCTACTGATTCGGGACCACAGCCCGTTTTGTTCCAAGAACCACCCAAGAAACAGCGCCCCAAATCAGCAAACAAGCAAAGTGAGTCGTCGGAAGATCCAAAAATTTATGGATTATTTACAAGATCTTCTTTTTTCTAAACAGGTACCGCCACACCCACATCGATAGCGAATGACGTTGCCGAGGCTGCGGCCAGTGGCTGCTCGGGCATCTCAATACTAACCAGAAGCCAGCCGATGCTGACCCCATCGCCAGTACCGTCGCCAGCTCCGCGTCCCGCTACACAGAAGCCGACCAAGTCGATAGCTACGACTGCGGTTCCGGCGCCAGCGGGCTCGCCCAGCAGGAAGACATCCACTACCACAAGTTCGGGCGCCTCCTCGTCGGCCGCCTCCACACCAACACATCAGTCAAGAGCACAGCAACAGCAACCGCCAGCCAAGCAACAACAGGTGTCCGGAGCTGTTGGGCAAGCATCAAGCGTGGGCACGGCCTTCGCATCGGCACCGCTAGCCCCGCCAGCTCGGGTCTCGGCGGCAGTCAACCAACTGGCCGGCACTACCGCACCGGCAAACACCGGCAACAATTCCAACAACACGAATAGCAACAATGCGAGCAACAAGAAGCAACGTAAGGCCCAAAAACGGGCCAAGGAGCTAGAAAAGAAAAAGCAGAAATCCACGATAACCAACACCACTGGCATCCAGAATCAAAACAACAATGGCAAGGGCAACAATGGCAGCATGCCGCCGGCCGAAAACACAAACAACAACAGTGCCCCGAACACAACAACACAGAACGCAACGGTGACAACAAAAGCGGCAGGAGCTGAAGCCGTGCCCGAGGCAACAACCAAACAAGTTACGACGCAACCGACGACTGATAAGCTTAGTGCAACTAGTAATAATCCTAGCGTAAGTTCTAGCCTAAGAGACAACCAAACACAACCGCTGCCCACCTCCAAGGAGCAGCTGGCATGCATCAACAACAACAATGACGAGGAAGTCATTGATGACGCGGATGGCGAAAGTGACATAGAATGTGAGTAACCTATCAGATCAGTCATATTATTCATAATGCTAATGGTTGTTCCCTTTACTCCTCAGCGGATAGCAAGGAGGACAGCATGTCACAGAGCATGGAAAACAAGGTAGACCAGCACGTCCCAACAGACGAGATTGTAGCGAAATTTTTACAAAAGGGAAGTGCCAACTCAACCGCGACTTTCTCGGAATCTCAGCTGCAGTTCCTAAACAGCAGCAGTTCTGTATGCGAGGAGGATGAGCATAGTCCTTCAACCAAATCCTCAACGGTAGCCCTGAGCGAGGAGAACTCTTTGGGCGAGCTTAAGTTTGGAGATTTCAACGAGGAGACCCGCGACACTGGTTTCATATGCAGCTCCACTTGGTCCAGTTCCACCCTCAGCAAAGCTGCCGAAGATGCATCATCTCTGAGCAGCAAGAGTACCGACAATGTGGACTGTGCTGCCCCGATTAAGGCACCGATTGTGGCCGAAAAGAGTGGTGGTGGGAGCAAAAAGAGCTCACCCCTTCATCAGGTATCCAGCAAAGGATCTGGATCAAGCTGTGGATCACCGAAGCCGAAGCAGCAGCAAAAAACTAAATCGAAGAGCCCCAGTCCAACTCCTCCCACTCCAAATCCCGAGAAGTTCTATCGTTATAGCATCGAAAAGCTGCGCGAGCTATCCAAGCTGAGCGACTCCCGAAAGCCACCGATGGTGCCGTGCCAGAAGGGAGATTGTATTTCGCAGCTATTTGTCTCCCGCCAGCAACAGCAGCAGCATCACGGCCACGGCCAGCACATCCAGCAGTACCAGCACATGAACTTTAACGAATCGATGGACTATGTGCCGGGCAAGCGGGGTCGCGGCCATGGAGCCGGCAAGAAGCATCACGACGGACACCAGCAGATGGGCAGCTCTGGCGGCATGGGCAGCATGGGCGGAGGTGGCGGTGGTGGAGGCAGTGGCCTACCCAACTCAAATCAACGCCACATGGACATCATTCGTGTGCAGCTGTCGCTCAAGGAGGAGATCAAGTTGTCCGAGTGCGAGAATGCCTGGCAGCCAGAGACTCTGCGCCGTATGTCCATGGCTACTGGCCAGGAGGAGGACACCGATGTCGAGGGCGTGATTAAGAAAGTGCGCGGCATACTGAACAAGCTCACACCCGACAACTTTGAGGTTCTGCTCAAGGAGATGTCCAGCATCAAGATGGACAACGAAGCTAAAATGACAAACGTAAGTATACTCTGTTGTCTCCTTACTTTATAATCTTGAATTTCGATTCCTCTCCAGGTCATGTTGCTGATCTTTGAGAAGACCATCAGTGAGCCAAACTTTGCACCAACCTATGCCCGCTTCTGCAAGGTTCTCTTCCACGAGATCAAGGCCGAGAACAAGTCCTTGTTCACGAGTTCGCTGATAACCCGCATCCAGCACGAATTCGAGTCAAATGTGAACGATGCGAACGCCAAGGCCAAGAAGCTGCAGCCGACCATGGACCGCATCAATCAGTGTTCAGATCCGGCCAAGAAGGCAGAGCTGAGATCGGAAATGGAGGATCTGGAGTACCAATTCCGTCGCCGAGCCTGGGGCACTGTGCGATTCATTGGGGAGCTCTTCAAGCTGCAATCGCTGACCAGCGACCGGGTGCTCAACTGCGTGGAGTCCCTGCTCGAGCATGGGTGTGAGGAGAAGCTGGAGTACATGTGCAAGCTGCTGACCACGGTTGGGCATTTGCTGGAAGCCGCCCTTCCGGAGCAGTACCTACTCAGGGATCGCATTGAGAAGATCTTCCGCCGCATTCAGGACATTGTGAACAGATCTCGTGGAACGTCGCACCGTCAGCAAGCGCACATCAAGATCAGTAGTCGCGTCCGATTCATGATGCAAGACGTTCTCGATTTGCGACTGCGTAACTGGGATCAGCCGCCAGGAGCGAACCAATCGCAAGGAGGCCGGAACCAGCGGCACAAGCAGCACGACGATTCCAAGGACCAGCAGCATCATAGTTCCGGTGGGAATCGTGGAGTAAACCAACACCAGCAGCAAATGCATCACCAGTCTCAGCAAAAGCATCACCATCACAGCCAGCAGCATCACCAGCATCACGGCCAGCAGCACGGTGACGACAGGGGTGGCGGTGGCGGCGGCAACTACTTCATGCAAAAGATGCCCAAACAGCAACAACACGAGAACCAAACGCTCAGCATCGATCCCAGCAAGCTGCGCTTCAGCAGCAGCAGCCTCGCCAGCGAAGACACGCCCGCCAAGCTGGGCAATTCCTCGCACTATCAGTGGCGCAACGCCGGCAACCGGCCGGTGGGCAGCACCCCCGCCAACAATCCGCCGCCGCCCACTTCACTGCTCAAGCGCCTACCCACTCCGGGTCAGAACTTTAGCTACTCGCCGTACCAGCAACCCTCTTCTCAGCCCATGGGGGCTTCCGCACCACCTGCCAGTGGCAACAGGAGCCATGCGGGCGAACAGCAGAACTCTTCAGACGTAGGCCTGGACGCCAAGGAGTGCCAGGAGCTGCTGACTAAGATGGTGGAGGAGGCTTTGAATACCCGCAACTGGCAAGGGGAAGTCCTTACGATCTGGCGTTCCCACAACGGAAAACAGCAGTCGAAAGTACTGCATTACCTACTGATGGACTACCTCCATCGGGCGACAGTGAAGCGCCAGCAGCGGCAGGCATCCGCCAACGTGTTCTCCCACTTGATGAGCCAGGATGCCGTGGATAAGGCCGTCTTTGTACAGGCGTACTCACGATTCGGCGAAGACTTTCCGGATTTGCTGGTGGATGTACCCAATGGATGGGCGTATGTGTTCGAGTTTTTGGGTCCGTTGCTGCACTCTGGCAGGCTGAGTCTCAAGGATATTTGGCAGCGACGCTGGCTGGATAATCCATCTTTCACGGAGCGCTTCGTGTTTGCCTTTGTGAACTATTTTGTGCAGGAATTCGGTGCCGCCTACGCCCGCAAGCTGTGGCACAGCGAGTACAAGTTGGACCGCGGCCAGATGTTCTGGAGTGATGGACGCAAGTATCGGGACTTTGTGCAGGCGCATAGTTTTTACTTTCTGGACAATGGACCCGCACAGCAGCAACAAAGCCAGGGAAAACCCAAAGGCCCGACAGCCTACCGTTCGCCGGTGGAGCATGTGGAGCGAATCCGATACCTACTGGGCCTGTCCTGCGACATGGCCATCGACTACATTAACACGAACGTGGCCATCAACGCCAACTTTGTCAGGCAGCTCACAAAATTTCTATGCTGTGATTTCGCGCTAACTGTGATGACTAACACCCACAATAAGAAACAACCGCTGCAGCTCAACACCGAGAGCTTTCGCAGCCGGTGCACACCGCTGTTGCGCCTCTGCATCGACGCCCAGGAGGCGCTGGAGATCGCGTGCATTGACGAGGCGGTGGACTCGCTGCAGCAGCACTTTATGGCGGAGTTCGAGGACGAGATGGCCGCTGGCGAGACCATCTGCAGCACGTTCAGTGTGCTCTACGACAGCGAGGTGATACCCAAGGAGTCATTCGACAAGTGGTACAAGCTGGAGATCGAGCACTCCTCCGCCTACCGTCGTCCGTTCATCGAAAAACTTCGCAGCTTCATCGAGGATATGTAGATGCAAGACGTTCTTAAACACGAATACAAAAGTAGAGGAACCAAAAGTGGAAAAAACAAACATAAAATTAGAAATCCCTAACAACTAACTAGCCGGTGACCCGATTGACCCGGCGCGGTCGTAGGTGTGAAGTGGATACTATTACGCAAAGGATCTGTCTTAAAATTTGATTGTGCATCGTCGACACACACTCACATACACCCCATTGTTTGTTGTGCAGTGTTTTGGAACTGTCTAGACGAAAATTCCTTGTTTTTTCCACACAGATTTCCTATGCAAGCCGAACCTTCAAGTCACACACACACCAAACATTTCATTTGTATCACAACACGTTCCTTACGAGAAAGATAAAATTTCCCATTCGATGACTTGGTCATGTTTCAACACAGACAACAAATATTTACACTTAATCGTATCAAATGAATAAATATAACAGAAAAACACCCACGAATAATGAAAATCATAATAATTCAATGGAATCTCCGATGACCGAAGTATATTCGAGGAATAACATCGACTAAGCATTACCCAGCAATACAGGGTATACAGCGCATATTGATGTATAATTACATATAGAATATTCATTTTCGTAAACTCTACAGTATTTCGTTAATCATTTAAATAAATGCGGACATCATTTATAGGCCTAGCTTCGTAGCTTAGCGTACTTTTCTAGACTTAAAAGGAATTTTTGTTTATTTTACCTTTCAGTACAAAGCTTTGTGAATTCAAATTACGTTTGTTTTGTTTATTTTTTTTTGTTTGAGGTATTATAAACTATAACCACTTATGATTTACGTATCTTCGATTTCAAATGTAAACGGCTCAAAAAAATAGGCAAAAATATTCACTCTTCCTAACCGATCTGTATTTCAAATCTCAATTCCGCGGTTTATTGTACAACTCGGAATATTCACTTATATATTAAATCAATATATATATATATATAAATTATAAAAATAATTTATGGCAAAAATATACGTACGTATACTAAACAAAAATGAATGTAAATTATAAAATTCGTAAAGACATGTAAAGTATTTAGCACACAAAGCATGATTATCCAAAGATAAATCTTAAAATTAGCTGTAAAAAGGAAAGAAAAAAAATACACTAATATTAAATTCGACGACAAAAAATATAAAAACACACACACACATTTACTATATAGTTATTTAAACCAAATTGAAAAAACAAAAAGTATATATAAATAACAATTCAAGCATAAAAGCATACATAAACGTCATAATGAAAAACGAAAAAAAAAGCAAAAACAAAGAGCTCTAAGCCGCCTTTAATTAGTTATTTTTATAAAATTGAATGAAAACCTAAATCTAAATCGATAAAAGCAAAAACTCAATTTCAAAAATTTATATATAAAATATTTGAAGCAAGGCAACAAACAAAAAACAAACAAGTTTAGCGAAAATTAGTTTTACTAAACTCCACATTTTTTGTGTATAAACTTTAGGTTTTTTTATTTTACACTACAAGTGGAAAAACATGAAAATGATTTACGGCAAAAGCAAATGAAAATTGTACGCCTAAGTAATTAGCAAAAACAAGAATTAAAAAAGAAGCAAGAGATATGGTTTAAATAGGTAAGAAATTGACAAAGAAAAACCCGAGAAAACCGAGAAAAAAAGGAAGTAATTATAACACTTCTGCACTAAACAAGAGAATAATTCTAAAGCCAAGCTAAAACATTTATAAGTGGGCGTGGCTATTTAACTAGTTTCGTAGCAATTCGGCAGGCATTCCAAATGCTTTCGGCCAACTTTTCGGGATGAATTTCAACCAGATACCGAGCACGATGAACTGGTATCCTGAATTTCGATGAGCCGGGGGCAGGAGATTGAACCAGAGTTTCCCAGTGAATTTCCTTAGAGAAATTGAAAGTAGAACCCAGCAGAACAAGGCGAGCAGGTGACGGGGCAGGATATGCGGAGAGCATATGCTAAACAGGAAATCAACAAGAAATTGTAAACAGCTAATAATAAAACGGAAAAGTAAAACTTTAAGGCGTTTTAATGCGGGTCCAGTTCTCAGTTGGCATTTCTCATTTTCATAGGCATGCGGCACATCTTCATCCCACCACACTCAAGAACTTATCCTTAAGAACAAAACACTCGCAAAAAGTGCATCCCTAAACACCCAAAACCACACACACCCACAACACATCTCATCATTTGGTGATGGCAGAAAGTAAGAGTACCATTTGTTGCATTGCTTAGCATAAGAGGTTGTGGACATTGGCTTTAAGGCTTGTGAAAAATGTAAGCAAACATAACATTAAAATTTACAACATTACGGCACTAAACTTTAATCTTTTTTGTAATCCTGCCAGGATATAAGCCAGTTTGAAAATGGCCGAACGTCGAGGTCGCATTCCTGTGGCCAGGTTTCGCACCCAGGAGGCCAAGACCCGCAGCAGGAGTCGCGTCCGGGAGCCAGACTATAATGAGCAGGACCCGGAGCACGATGTGTTCACGCTGCTGGAGGACAACATCGCCCTGAGGGAGGAGAACAAAGCGCTCAAGCTTGAGATCGAAACACGTATGTTGTACCCTTCTTACTTTAATGTTTGAACTTATTTTGGAACTATATTCGCAGACAAAACCACTCAGGAGGAGCAGCAAGCTCAGCACGAGAAGCTGTGTATCCAACTGGAGTCCCTGCAACAGCAGCAGGCCAACTTTGAGTCCCAAATCAAGGAGTTGAGCTCCAAATTCAACAAGGCTTTGAACGAGAGGAATGCTTTAGATAAGTTGCACAAAATGAAGGTCGATCAGATCCACAAGTATGTTATATTTTAAATCGTTGAGGAGGTAAACGTAGTTAACAAATATTCCTCATAGTCTCACCAGCGAGCTGGAGCACATGCGTGAAAAGCAGCATGATCAGAGTCCAGGACCTATCTCCCGACCGGTTATCGGTTCGGTGGAGCTTAAACGCAAACTATTCAAGATTCTGCAACAAGGTAGTGCCGATAGTGCCGACAGTCTTGGTAATCATGACCTGGATAGTTTGGTGGATGTGAACTCGGAGGGAGTGCCTATTACCTCGGGCCTGATGGAGCGTTTAGCCGATGAGTTTCTTACACTCAAGCATTCAACTAATGCAGTGGAGCTACAGCTTTATGAAGCCAATGAAAAGATGTCGGAGCTATTAGAGCAGGTAATGAGGCTCATTAATTTTAAAAATTGTATTAAATATTAATAATATCTTATCGTAGCAACACTCATTGGAGGAGGAGAACGAAACACTACGCACTGAGAACAGCAACCTTACCAAAGTGGCCAAGTTGCTCACCGAAAACATGAAGGAGAGTGTGGAAACTAGCCAGAAGTATGATAACCCTATTCAAGTCACTCCTATAGGCTCTCATAATATCTTTATCCCCGCAGAATGGAGGCGGCGCTGATCAAACTAAAGCAACGCAACGACGAGCTCACTGCCAGGACCCGGGACCTTACTGATGGACAGCCGGGCACCAGGACCAGTACCACATCGAGCGTGCTAAATGAACAGGAGGAATTCGAGCAGATCCAGGATCAGGTGCAGCAGCAGGCCCGCGAGCACAATGAGCGCATCGTGGAAATGGTTAGTCCGGGATTCGGTTTACTCTCAATCTTTTCGCACTCAGTATCTATGACTATCAAAGTATCTATTCTATCCATCTATTATGAATCCATTAGCAATCACGGAGCGTGTTCGATGTATTCAAGCCGCTCTCGAATTTCTTCCGGAGCAACTGAATATGAACAGCTGGCGTTGATGAATTCCCACAAAAAAAAAAAACAAATAATATTTCTTGAGAAATGCATGGAATGTGTCCAGCTGGGCATGTTGTTGTTCCAACAAAAAAATAAGCTATTGGTGCTGGGTCAGACCACCGTCCACTCTATTACTCCTCCTCATCCATCCGAGTCACGTAAGCAACTGGCTTGCTGCGCGTCGCTTTTCCCATGCAACTCCTCCTCTGGCTTTCGATGCACTAACCTATCCCTTAGATGCTTTGATTGATCTACTAATCTTTCTCACCTAAATCTCTGCACCCTCGCCTCGCTCCTGCCCGCCCGCCCCGCTCTACCCTTCTCGTTTTCGTTTCTTACAATTGTAGCAAAGTCTAATGGATGCGGCTATTGCCAAAACTACTAACGATGAACTAAAAAAATTACAACTTAAGTTGGAGATTCTCGAGGAGCAGCTGCGCGAGGCAGTGCTGCGGGCTGATCGCGCCGAGGATCAACTGGCGCGCTACCAAGAGGCCGAGCAAAAGTCCCTGGCAGCTCCACCTCCGCCGCCGCCACCACCGCCTCCGCCTCCCATGCCGGGCAAGCTGTTCGCAGGGGCATCTGGTGGAGACTGCGGAGGTGGGAGCTTCAGTGAGAACATTGCTGGCCACAGTTTGCGCAAAGGCAGCGGCGACAAGATTATCGATAATGTGAAGCATCAGGTACAAGCCGAAGCAGCAACAGGTATGTACGCAAATCCAGTATCCCCTCCAGATGCTTCTGATTTCTAGAGGATTAGGATGTGAATAGTTTAGGTGTGGGTTTGAAGTTCATTCCATTTCATTTTTTGTACAAGAACACTTCACTTATCTTCATAAGATTCTATAAAGCACTAGAACAGTGCTGTTCAAAACTTGTGCCCTCGAGTGGCAGATGACCGAACTCCTTCTTTTCCAACTATGTTCAAGTGGAAAAGTCCTCAGAGCTTGAATCAGTTTCTAGACCAACCAACCATTGTCCATTGGATGAACAGGGGAAATTGGACCGAAAAAAGCTGCCGATGCCTGAATCGCACTTGTGTCTCTGGCCATCCATGTGTCGGAGACTAATCCCTGCCAGCCGTGCGTTGACAAGTGCCTGCCATTGTCGCCGTGTCCTGGAGATCTGGCTGAAGGGCCCAACTTGTTGCTGTCAATTGTCACTGAAGTCTCACGCCACTCATCGGCCTATAAGCCCTGCCCCTCATAGTCCTCCCGCTCCTGGTCCACGCCACACAACAACCCGTCTGCGATTGTAATTGATTTTACCTACACGTCGGCTTCTTTTACGGCTCAATGCAGGCTTTCACTAGCTGGTTTTCCCCATCCACGCTGCTCCACTCCGCTCCACCCTGCTCCACTCCGCTCCACCCTGCTCCCTGGCCATTCACTCTTGACTGCTGCAGCAGCAACTTCTTAATTAAGTTTGCGAGCTGCTTTCCGAGAGATGGGGGAACCGGGCAAGGGGTGGCTTTTGTGATGACCTCGACAGGTCTGGTCTAAAAATAGGGAGTGCTGGCACTAGGAATAAGCACAAAATTAGCCAATTAGTTACTGCATAATTTTTAAAAAGCATCCCTAAAACCTTCTAATATACGAGTTTCGAGTAAATTAAATATTAAAATTGCTAATTATCCTTGGAACTTAACCTTGGATGGATTTTCTGATTGCTCTTCTGTTTTGTGAGTATTTTAAAATATATTTTTGCGACAATGAGAAGCCGAGTTTCGTGTAAAATTACGTGGGTCTGAACTATATACTATATTAATATATATGCAGGTTCATAGTATAAAACACCCTGAGTGTATTTGGCTTTGGCACTTGTGGGCCATCACTGCCAGCGTTTAATTTCGTTTCCATTGAGATGATGAAACAATTGTGGGAAAAATCCAGAAGTACCTTTCAAGACTTAATAGGTTATTTTATCCTTACACACTGACTTAAACCTATATTAAACTTACATCTACCATCAGAAATGTGCTTGATAAACTCTATGAAAATGAAATCAGTGTATATACCCGCATAAAATGTCACAAAATTGTAAATATGCCCATGTACATTGTGGTTGGGTGGTCGTTTTTATGCAGCATGACAGACAGTGCATGATTTTATTATACAAAAGCAAATACCTTTGGCAAATATGTATCTACATATATATGACCTATCGATCTGTGATGAGATTTAATTAAATAGATTTGTTCAATTGGGATAGTTTCTTAAGTATTTAATGTTCACTCACCCCGAGGGATGCTAAATGGGCTCTTTAAGTAACCAATGTCATGGACATCCTTGCATGGACACACACACACATTGATATGCACTCAACACTGACACTAAGCACTTCCGTTTCCGCTTTGTTTTGATGCTGATTTCATTTCTGTTGCCTACTTTTTGGCGCGCACCACGCGTCGTATGCGTAACGAGCGCACATTCAAATCAAAATCAATCAACGCGCGTATTGTTGGAAGCCATAAATGTGCCGCTATATGTATTAATATAGGTATATCCATCCGATGTGGAGGCAACCTGGGTATATAGATTACACTGGAGTGCCCTGCTAGCCGAGTGGAGCGGAGAACGCGCGCGCGTCTCTTGAGGCACGTGAAGCGTTTGAGCTGGCAGCCAGCCGTACATCAGCTTTACGGCTAGGCATCACCATCGCTACTCGTGTCCTTTTCCGCACTCGTCAAGCTCGTCGTCGTCCTTGTCCTGTTCGTCCTTCTCGCCCGGCTCGGAGGCTATAGCTCTATAGCTATGGCTATGGCAAAAACAAATGAAGCGTTCCCGTTGCCGTTTCTGTTACTGTTTGTTGAGGTAAAGCAGAGCTAGGCAAATGGAATTGCTGATATTGTCCAACTCAAACCATATCGTGTGTATACATAACAACAAGTTGCTGTCGCTCCTGCTCCTGCTCCTGCCAGCCATTGTTGGTGTTGCCCATGGCTACCGCTACCAGCTTCACTTTCAACCAGTCGATAGGACGAGGTGGAGGTGGATATGGACCTAAAAACCCAGCGACCGACCAACTCCATGACCTACCCCGGCCGCATCTATGGTTATACGCTTTAAACGAATTTGTCTTCTATAGATGGTGCACACATACAACCTACATGGAAGCGGAAATTCCACAACACACATTTGTCAATATCCTGTCGACACTAAAGCTCTTTCCCTGCGCTGCGTCTGAGTGCCATTTCCGGTTTCATGCCATACATTCAAAACTTAAATTTGATTTAAGTTGGCCCTGGCGAAAAAAGGCTCTTGCCTGGCTTCCTTTCAACCTGGCAACCCGCACGAAGCTGGCTCGCTTGAATGTTGGCTTTAAGCGGAGCAGGCGAGCTATTCGCATTTTTCGCTTGTTGGGCGGCTTTATTTTTCCTGGATGGCCCACTCTTGTTTCAATTCAACCCCCCCACCCAACTGTCAGTACAAGCCAGGACCGTATCAAATTCGACTATGACGACAAGGACGCAGAGGATGAAGATGATGATGATGAGGGAGGCGATGGCAATGGCGATGGCGACGGTGCAGAGGACGCAATTTATTATTTTTACGAGGAGGGGCCAAGCCATGAACTAGAAGGAGCCGCCGCAAGCCGCATTGTGGCTGCTGGGCCGGCCATGGCTTATTATTATTATTTGTGCGTTTTATATTTCCGTGTTTTATTGCGCCACTTTTCTTGGCAGCACCATTGGCAGTCGGCAGTCGCCAGTCTCCATTGTAAACCCGCCCTTCATGTACGCACATACGAATTCCAAACAGGGGAGTGGCGGCAGGCAGTAGGTACATTTCCATTGACTCGCCTTTAGCTTCATTTGTCGCCGGTGACAGTTGTCGAGTGGCCGACATGGCCTTCCATTCCACCAGCAACCCGTTGCGGCCTTGTCCATGATTTATGTCCAATTGCCACCTACCAAATAGCCTTTAAAGTCCCCGGCTTACGGTGAGTATGGGAGCTGTTCTGTTACGGGCTATGGTGCGTTTTCCTCCTAACAGCTAACCGCATGTTAGTTAAGCTTCAGTAGCGACTTGTTTCCAAAAAAAAAAACTCGTCCGGCAATGCTCTAATGGATTTGGTGTACGATTCTTCCAGGTCTTGACGCTCTAGTGCGGGAATTCAAGTCGGGCGGCGTGACACTGCGGAGGCGAAATCGACGCAAGACCGGCACCAGCGAGGCCCTCAAGGAGATGTTCCAGGTTTTGGAGATAAGTCAGAAGCAGAATCGCAACTCCAAGATATGCGTGGACCTGCACTCATCCCGCGGAGTGGATGTATAATCCTCGAACTGCTCTCTTTCTCTTCCCCCAACTCTCTACTACGTCTTGGTCTCAAATCTCAGGACTCAGCTGTCCCTGAACAACGAACATTCCGTGCATTTTCTAATTGTATTATTTTTGTGCCTTTCTCGAGGAGGAAATCAACGCCATTTACAATTTACTAAGCTTAAGCTTCGACTATATATGTACTACTACCCTGGTTCACCTAACCCCCCAACTATACTATTTTTGCAATCTAACCCACGTTTGTATCCGGCCCTGAGTAATGTGTTCATTTTAACAGGTTTCGCGTTTACTAATCAAAGAAACCCCATCGGTTATCAATAAATATCAATACATTTTTTAACATAAGCACTACTATGCATTCTTTTTGGGTGGTTTACTTTAATAAATCAAATCGTTACTGTTACATCCTTAAGTTTAGATAATTATTGCTTAATCTTTGGCCGATACACAGATCGCAATTACATAATTACACAGAGCTCTTTAAAATAAAATATTGGTTTATCTAAGATTAAATATTTGTTGTGTAAGTAAAATACATACATAGTTGTGCCTCGGGGTCTTCGCACGCTAAATGGTTTTTATAAAATGCGCTTATCGTATAAATCTCAACAGCTAGTTGCACTACATAATGGCTACACATAATTGTATCAAAACAGTACATACTAGTATATATGTATAGTAAAGCGCTCTTCACAAAAAATTGTCTAAAATGTTAACAAAGATTTCGTTCATCGTTCGCATTTCGTAATTGACTTGTTAGTAGATTTGTGCTAAAACCCTATTTGTGTTTGTAAAATCGTGGTAATTGATATTGCATATAGACTGTGTGGCACTTGTTTGCATAAGAGACGTAAAAAGTTTCTAGAGTTGATAATTAAAGCCTACGATCTAATATTATATTTTAGCGTACAGCGTATCGGGTGTACAACATAACTGAGTACTTGTGGAAGACAAGTAGATGGGCTTTTGTTCGAAAACAAACTAAACGAAAATGACGACATGTTCAACATAATATCATATAAACGTAAACATATTTAAAAACACTTAACAAGACATGTAAGAATAGGTATCGTAATCGAATTGCTACGGGCTAGTGCGATCGTTTCTAAGACACTTGTTTTGGTAGGCGGTCGTTTGTTTGTGGCTGAGGGCGTAGATCGTTGATTGTGGATTTTGGTGGATTGCCGCTATACATGTAGTAACAGGGAAATACTTGGCACTCGCGACATCATTTGAACGTATATGGCTGCTCCGCCCCTCATGCTCTATGGAATGTGTTTGCTGTGACGCGACGGCTTCGGTGGCGGCGTCGGAGGACGCGGCTTGCTGCCATCGATGGCATTCACCACACTGAAGTTCGTGGCCTGCAAATACTCGTACGTGGTATTGGTAATACTGGTCTTTGTCAGGGTCGTTGTAGTGCTCATGCTGCTGCTGCTCGTATTGCTCATTTGGCTCAGCAACGCATATCCGTTGGGCGCCCAGTCCATGGAGTGCAAGCTGCTGAAGTCTGTGGAGTCACGTGACTTGGCGGGCAGCGGCGGCGGTCGGATGTCCTCCTCGGATGTGGAATCAGTGGTTTCTAAAAAGAATTATATGTTTAGTATACCCCTTAGGAATATCATTCCCTAACACTTACCAACTGAATTGCGATTGCTGCTCTCGGATAGAGAGCGTGTATCTGGGAAATTCTTGATGCTGGCAGTGGGCGTGGCAATACTGGACGGCCGGGAAAGTCGGCGCTCCTTCTCCTTTTCCGAACGCAGGGGACGCTTTGGCGTCAGCTCTTCGGTCAGGACATGAGGATCTGGAGTTTTTGGACCGCTCAGTGAACTGTTGGAGGCGCTTGCTAGCGACGCTATGGATGTGTTGATCTCCTTCTCAGGGGTTGAGGTTATGGTGGTCAGAGGTGGCGTATACCACTGGCTGCTGGGCAGGCTGAGAGCATCCCGATCCTGCAGAATCAAGGGGTATTGTAAAAAGATGAACCGAATGTTGGATCCAAACTTACCTTCTTCATGGAGCGCCGCTTGGCCGGTGTCTTGTCCTTGTCCTTACCCTTGCTGCTGGACATGGCGATAAAGGCAATGGAAGCAAGGATGATTGGCAAATGAACAAAATGAAATAAGTACAACGAAAACAAATTAAAAATCTAATGAATTAAATCAAGTTAGAGTCTCAAACTAAAAGCCAGCGGTTAGCATGGAGAGAGAGTTCAAATATTTGTGGTTAGGCGGGTCTCCTTCAACTCGGGGATATCACTTTACACACCTGGTGTTGAAACTGAGGCTGGCAAGCGTTGACTTGATGGAGTTGGTCTGCGGTCTCGGCAGAAAGGTTGACTTGGACAGGCCGCTACTATAAGGGGGGAATCAAAACAATGTATTAAAGCAACTACCCCATAGAGGTACAAGCTGCACTTACTCTGATGATCCCATGCTGGTCTCCGAATGGCGGTTGTAGCTGCCATCGAATCCCGCTGGCAGGAAGGAATTGGTCCGGCGCATCACAACCGAGTCAATCTTCAGATCACAGGTCTTTTCGCCGTACTGCGTCTCCACATGCCTCTTCATGTCGGAGAAGCATTTCTCCAGGTGCTCCTGCAGGGCTTTTAGGCTTTCGGGTGCTCGTTGCCGATGCAACTGAATGGCTGTAAAAGGAATCAAGTTAGAGAAGGTAGTTACTTTAAATCTATGTGAACTTCTTACCTATCTCCAGTAACGGAATCTGCAGGGCAATCAGATCCTTCAGCTCCTCTACCAGCTCTTTGTCGTCTGGATTCTGTTCCAGGTACTCCTCAACTAGGAAAGCCTCTTCGTACTTGGCAAAGCCACCCATCACCGCCGGGTCCACGATGCCGTTCAGCTTCATGGTCAGCGGATTAATGTGCAAGGTCTCATCACTTCGGTGGAGAATCACCAGCTGTCGGACGTCGCGGTTCGTGTCCCGCATAATCTCCACCGCCCTCTCGAGAGGAGAGATCTTAAAGGTATTTGTCTCGACGACGGGGAACCAGCGTAGCACTCCCGGCAGGGGGAAGCTGGCAAGTAGCTCCGTACGCTCCAGCCACAGATTCCTCACATCATCCATGTGGCCGCCACCGCTGCTGTCGCGGAACGGGCGCGAAAACTGGAACTTCTGCACGTTGTTGGCGGTGAAGTACTTGACTATCTCATTGGAGATGATCTTGTCGTTGAATTTGGCACAGTCGGGATTCATGATGGGCTCCACCTTGTTCACCTGAATGTACTGGCCGTCACTGTTGGTTATATCCTCGCCCGGGGCCTCTAGTGTTTGCATGAGTTCCGCCTGCGGATGTTGGACCAGCATCCTGGTGCAAAAGTCACTATGCCGTTCGTACTCCTTGCCCCGGAAGATGTAGACTTTGTTCTGGAGCAGACGTGGGAATCCTCGACCGTAGAAACACACACGGAAGTACTCGGAGCTGTGACGCAACTCCTTCAGAATCTTCTCAAAGAACTGAGCCATTCGCTTCAGGAGCTCCGCCAGCTTGATGTAGTCATAGATCTCCTCCTCGTACTGGCGGGCCAGCACCTTGCACATGTCGATGGCGCACTCCCATTGCTTGCCCTTGTCGAAGTAGTCCATTATGTCGAAGTACAGCGCCTCCTTCAGCTGGCGGTGGGTGCGGCAAACGTTGTGTTTCGAGCTCCGTAGCTGCGGAGAGAGTTCCATGTCCGTCCAGCGCAGAAGGTTCGCGTGCAGCTTCAAAGTGAACGCCGCCTCGGTGTAGTTCTCGAACTCCATGTGGAGGGCGCACAGCTTGTACACGTACCGGATGTACATCTCCTTGAGATCCACATCCGAGTAGAACTGCAGGAGCGAGAATGTGCAAGCCATGCGGTTCTCCTTGCTCTCGTCCTGAATAATGAAGCGGTACTCCAGGAGTTTGTCCATGAGTCGGGTCACCATCTGGACGAAGGCTGTACCATCCACGTTGAGAGTGCTGTGAGCAGCACAGCGTTCCAGCATTATCTCTTCGAAGAGTTTCTTGTATTCCGCATCACCTTTGCCTTTGGAATAGTTGTATTAATATTAAGTATATAAGGCTTATAAAAAGTAGTGTCTTTACCAGCTCCAATAAGGATGTCCAGCTTCTCGATCATCGCCGTCTTAAAGTCGGAAAAGTTCCCCTTATGGTGGGCATTGTTGAACTTGGTGTCCCCATAGCTTTCCAGCTCCAGTCTAGAGCTGTAGTACTCGCACTGCATCATGTCGAAGAAGATGGGAATCGTCTCCCGACGCAGATCTATCTCTGGGATCATGCTCATCTCCAGAATGGGTTCGACGAGTTGCGGCACAAACTTGGGCTTGTGCTGGCCCAGTTGGAACCACATTTTCCGAATCTCCATGGCGGTGTCCTTGCGAATATCCCGATAGCGGGCAAACACAATCTGCCGCTTGTTGTCGTTGAAGTCGTTCAGTTGCAGTGGAGACTGCACCAGGAAGGCGATGGAGCACTGGAAGAAGTTCGACCAGATCTGCTTCTCGAACGGACACAGGAAGTAGTCCGTAATGACCACGGCCAGGTGCTGAAGAGCTCCCAGGATCACCGTGTTCTGGTGCATGATCATGTCCATCCAGTCCCTGGGGAATACTGCCTTCTGGATCGGCGACACCAGCTGCTCGAAAGTCAGCAGGATTTCAGTGACAAACACCTTCAGTTCCCCATGCTGGTGCAGATCCTTGACGAAGTACTCGTAGTGCTGGGCATCCATGCGCTGCAGAATACCCAGCATGATGGCAAAGAACTTGCCAACCAACCCCGTGTCCCTGTCCAGGGCCTGGGCTGCCTTCATGACGGTTCGCAGCAGGATAATCATGACGTCGCGGATGTCGTTGTGCGTGGGACCCACATCCGAGCGGAAGAGCAACTTTAGGATGTTGTTCATGATGTTTATGCATTCGGTTATCTGGCGACGGAAAGGGCTTTGTTAGAGACTGGTCAAGACTGTGTTGGAGGAGCAGGGAATGTTTAATGGAGCCTTTTTACCAATTTCTATCAACAATTGGTAAAGAAGCTCTTAACTGGTTTGGTTTTGTTGCAAAATATCTTTGTTTAGGTTCTTCAGACTGTCTGGCTGGGCTTCATAAAATTAAGTTATCATTAGTGTTTATTAAAAAATTAACATAAAACGTTGCAAAACCATTTAAACATTGCATGGCAGGAAGCTGGAACATCTTAAGCCTAACTTAGCGGGCGTCCAAGGCGGCAAAGCACATGGATACTTCCTGACTCTCCAGCAGGATAGCGTTTCAAACACCACCATCCCTATATAGCTATAAGCTTTAGGATCTTAAGCTTAGGGTTTACAGAACAAAATATTGTATACAAAACGAGATGCTGAGACGCTGAGACCTAAATCTGGCTGAATGGAAATCGAGAGACGTATTTTTGTATATTTTTTACCTTTTTATTTGCAGTCGTATCACATGTGTGCAGTTGGGATTTTTTCTGTCCGAGCACTTTGGCTGCTTTCGAAAGATTCTTTTCTTGCTGCCAGATATCGGTTTTCGAGTCTCCCTAAATATTTGGTATTTGTTTCGGGGTTTGTACAAGGCAATTGCGGCATTTTGTGGCAAAAACAACAGCAACAGAGAAACGATAACAACACATCGGTTGGGTTGTGCGTGATTAAAAATTTTAATTGAATTTTTTTTTGAAATATTATACGAAAAACATTTAGATAATGAAGTAATGTGGGAAGAGAGGTAAATACAAAACAGATAGATAGTTTATTACATTGGATGCCAAGTAGTCTCGTGGGTGGGTGTGCTGTGTGGTATTGTGTGGGTGTGATGTGGATATTGTTCCCAGGTGTATGCATGTGTGGTGCTTTGATGTACTCCCAAATGCAAATTGCTTTCTAACAATGACGATGACGAGGGTGATCAGGTGCAAAACTAAACACACGCCTATTAAATGAGTTCGCAACTACATACGCCCCATGGTCGGGTGGATACAAACGTAATCTCGCTCTAAACACACACATGAAGGTCGCTAACTAACAAATCAGATGATCAGATCATCTGGGTGCTTAAGACTAGGACGTGAACTAGGACACAAGACACATAAACTAGCATAACATTTAATTAAATAATAGTCCGTGGAGTTTGCAGTTTACATGCCAAACGTTCTTAGAAATCACTAACAAGCAAATGCAACATGCTTAACACTAACTAAACACTGCTCGCAAGTCTACATATTAACTAGTAAGTAACTAGGCTTAGTTTTACTTGAACTGAACAAAATTAATACAAGTCACATGTCAAGTTGGAGGGTTCTCTTTTTGAACCATTTGATGGGATTTTAAATGGATTTCTGGATAATGGATCTGGATATTTAAGCATTTTTAAGTTTTTTAAGTAATTTTAAATGTTAAAATGTATTCAGCTTTAGTTACTTTTAGTTTCTTTAATTAGCTTTTTAAGTCGACTTGATCATGTGCTGGGTTATGTTTTAATTTTGCGTCTTGTCGGTGCATTCACAAGACAGTTTTCAAGGACGATGCATCGGATTAAGAACAAAATGCAGTTTCCAAATGACAAATTAGTGAAACACACAGTGCGGCTGTATCTCTAGGACATACCTCCTCCTTGCTCTCCAGGTGGTCCTTGATGTGCTTGCAAAACACCGGCAGCAGTATGGCCCGGCACTTGGGCAGGGTGAAGAGTTTCGTGTCCACAAAGTCCTTGATGCAGCCCATTTTGGACTGCGTTAGGCGGCGTGGTGGAAACTTTTCCAGGATTTCAACGATCGAAACGCTATAAAATATAATATTTTTTATATTCATTCATCAGCTACCGATCTGTAAGCCTACCTCAATGGCTCTTGGTCAAAGACCTGCATCAAGTCGGTGGCAATGATGTGCAGATTCTTGAGGAGCGCCCCCTCCGACTTCAGCAAGTTGCTGGGGCAGCCAATCATGTCGATGAACATGCGGAGTAGCTCCTGCAACCGGGAGGCAAAGTCCAACTCCGAATTGCAGTTCATCTCGGTGTAGAGCAGACGAGATCGTATGACGAACTTCATCACATAGTGGAGATAACGAGTCGTCTTGTACAGACGCCGCACCTCCAAGCTCTCCTCGAGATTGTTGCCATCGGCGGACTTTTCCTTCGGCGATATGGCTTCCCGGATGTTCTTTTGCAGCACATCCATCAGTTTTCTATTAAAAGGATTTATTTAAATCGATTTTTAATGATTTTGAGATGCACTTACGTGTATGCCAGGGTGAAGGAGAAGCTCTCATTGATGTACACATCTAGGACGGTGAGGAAGTGCTGGTACTTCAGATCCGACACCGTTTCAATCAAGTATATGATGCTCATGAACACCAGCTGGTCGTACTTCTCTGGATCATCGTTCTCCACCAGAATGTTGAACAAAGCATCCAGTATGTCCTGCAGGAACTTCACAACCTCCTCGCCAGGCACCAAGGTCAAGGCCTTCAGCGACTGCTCCAGCGTCTCCTTGTGGGCGGACCAGTTTAGGAGACCCAGTAAGCTCACTGCAAGGAATGATTACCTTTTAGTTTCTGTGAAGATCCAAGGAGAATCTATGCTTACCGCTTTGAGTGAGCTTGGTGCTGCACAGATTCACGCCAATGGACAGATGATCCTTGGGCAACAGGCTGAGTCCACCGATCGAGGGCTTTGCACCTTGGATCTCGGCCGTCGTGGAGGGAAGCTCCAGATAGCAGTTGGCCACCGTCTTGTCGTACTTCTTGTGGTCGATCTTGTAGACGGCAAGGATGTGCTGGCCCTGCGGAATGGTGGTACCGTTGGCCTGCATCAGCCGCATGTAGGCCAGGCCGAAGGGCTTCTCGCTCCGATCCTTCTGCTCGTTGCTGCTCCGATGTTTCAACACGAATCGCAGATGGCACTGCTTGAAGTCCTCGATGGGCACGTGAATCTTGAACGTCTCCTGCCACTTGGGCTTGTCGTCGTGGTAGTAGACCACGGACTTGTACTCGTCGATGGGCGGATGCCCGGCCCCAATACTCAGAACTCCCGGCACAAGGTAGCCCTGCTCGTTGGCCACGCACACCGACACTTCCACGTTCTTCTCCGAGGTTTTGGCGATGCGGGAGAACTCTCCGCTGCAGATGGTTAGGTAGAGATCGTTGCGCACGTCACCCGGCAGGATGACCTCGGGGAAGCCCATCTTGCGGGCCACCGGAACGTTGGTGTGCACCAGGCGGGGGAAGTCCTCTTTGATTTGTTTTATGTCTCCGCGCAGCACTTCGATGGTCACTGCCATTTTCGAGTCGATCTTGCCGATGTCCTTGTTGCCAATCAGCTTGCGCAGCGTCCCGTCCAACGTGTCCTTGTCGCACATGATGAACGGCAAGTCCAGGTTGCCCCGGAAGTCGTCCGCATTGTTGATGATGGGGGTCAGGTCCTTGCAGGCCACGCCAAAGGGCCTCCTTATCACATACTCTCCCGTGCTGCCGGAGGATCCGCTGGAGCTCACTGAGAGCTGCGACGCCTTGCGACTGGAGGCATTCAGCATGGTGTTGGCCATGCTAATGCTCGTCCGCTTGGACTCCACCGACTCCTTGAACTCCATGGACCCGATGCGGATGGCGTAGCAGACCAGGTACATCTTGGAAATGGCCAAGTCGCTTTTGCTGAGATCCGTGAAGAGCACCCGGTTGTTGTCGATCTGCTCCAGGGCGGCTCCGGTGCGGGACCACTTTACCACATAGTTCTCGCTGATGGGCTTGTGGTTCTCACCGTCGAAGAGGCAGAAGAGCAGGTCCGAGTCCTCCTGGAACTTGCACACAAAGGCATTCACGTGCAGGAGGATGTTGTGGGAATATTTATTCAGAGTTCGTGTGGTTCCACGATCGCTGGTCAGTCGCTGGAAGGAGAATGGATGATAAGGATGAGCTGAGATGACCTTTATATCTCTAAGAACACTCACATTCGCCTTCTCGATCCGCTGGACGGCGTGCACATGCTGCTCGTACAGCTCGGTGGTGCAAATGGCATTGGTGTCCAGGATGTCACCGCTCTCGTCGCGCACCACCATGTCCAGACCGAGGAGCTTGTTGCCAGTATCGATCTGGTTGGTGGCCAACAGCTTCACCTTCCTAATCTCGTCGAGGGGAAGATTTCCAGAGATCAGGGCTGCCCGGTTATTGTTCAGCTCGTTCATTTTCCTTCGAATCCTTGAGAAGCTGGGGTTGGTGGTCTGAAAGGGCAGGGTAATGGTTAGTCAGAAGCCCAACAAGATTATCCCCCTGGGAACTCACCAAAAAGTAACTTTTGGCAATGGAACCCCACTCCAGGAGCACTTTGGTGATCTCCTCAACAATGTCGCTTCGCTGGATGCAGAACTCTCCATTCACGATGGTGTATTCACACAGATGGATGTACGTCTTGGGAAATATGCCTCGTGTTTCCTTGGCTCTGCAACAGAAATTGAATAAAAACAAGAGAAGGGGGGAAGTCATTAAAATGTGGCCTGCACATGGTGGAACACAAAAAGGACAAATTGCCAGGGGAAGCTCTCTCTGAATGGGGCTCCCCTCTCGAAGAGACCCTTCACTGTGGACATTTAATATTTACATTCATATATGACACAATTCAACAGCCATCGCGACTGATGAATTACCCAACCCAAGCCCTAACAGATAGGGGAACTTGCAGCACTGAGATATGGGGTTTTTTTTTTTGGTGGTTTATAAAATATATATCTTTTTATAGAATAAAATTCATGAATAAATTGTGGTTAAGCCTGTGATCTAATTAGATATCTTTTCTTTAGAGCACTATTTCTATTTTTCCAGTGTAGCCCAGTGTCTGCAGAGGAAGTGCGCTCAAAGTGTGACATTGTCGGACTATATGGAATGCTTTAATTTGGCTCAATTCGCCGCTTGACATGCGGGGTGGCCACTTTAATTGCCCGAGGCATTCATCACTTACAGAATCATCGCCCCTGTTGCTGTCCCCCCTGGTAGCTCCTCCATCGGTCCCTGAACCCGGTCAAAGTTCTAGATGGGTTACCTTTATGGTATCTATCGCTCTCGAGCTCTATAGCCTTCGAAATTCATTTAACCATTTCCAATTGATTGCGACGGCGCCCAGGCCAGAGGCCTCATAATTTTCAATATTTACGCTTGAAAATCGTGAGAAAATCCACAATTAAAATTGATATTTTTCTATAAACAAAAAATAAAGAATTTTTGATGGAAAGCAAACATAAATTTCGGGCCAAAGAGGTTATCAGCATATCGGGTGTCGTCTTCCCTTCAGTATTGGGAGATAGAAGCACAGTAGAGTGTGGGAATGTGCTTCATAATTAAAGCAAATTAACGCCCAGAACTCTGGACTCGAACTGGTTTAGGCTGGCTCTCCTCCAAGTCTTCACTGTGATCGGGGAATGTGTGTGTGCGCCCCTTTATTTACTTTACTGTCTTTGCTGGCCATGCGAGATGTGTGGAATCTCCGAGTCTCATGGGCTGGGCTGCATGGGTCAGCAGAATTATTGGACAAGAGGTCAGAACCGTCAGAATTCCGAAGGCGTTCTCTCTCTCCCTGCGCCAGCTACTGGGCTGCCTGATAAGGCGGCTGAAGATAAAAACTCCAAACAAACCAAAGAAAAAGGGTCAAGCCATGTATATATAGTATATACACATAAATATTGAATGGAGGAAGGGGCTGGTAGGGGAAACTTTTATCTCTTCGACGAATGTGGCATGCAACTTTGGCAGCCAGCATGTGGCGGCATATGGTCGCCGAGCAAAGGATGCAGGAAAGGAGCGGTCTTGGCCCCGATTTCCTTGGAATACTCACTCGAGCAGCCTCCTCTTGATGGGTAAACAAAGGCCCAAAACAAATGGGCGGCGCTTGTGTACCTGATTTACGATTTCTATGCATCTGAAAAATCTGTTTCCGCTTCTGAACTTGTATCTGCTGCTACTGCTGCCTGTTTTCTGTATCTTAAAGTCTGTATAGTGATGTCTGGGATGTTTCTTCGCAGCTCTCATGCATATGCATTAGACAAAACGAGATTGCAGTGAAAGTCTCCTCTCGTCTCGGGGGGGAGGGAAGGAGAAGATCCAGCAGATCGCTGATTAGACAAACAACGGCGGGAAAATAGTAACATCAACCCATAGACTTGCTCGACAAACAAGCTAATGAGATAATGGGGCACTTGATTGGTTGTATTTCCCAGCCCTGTTTTGGAATATATATTCGACAGATACTATACTCACTTTTGTCTGTATCCGTAGTACCAGTGGGTGGTCTCCTTGAGGATTATAACAGCATCTCCCACGTCCAGGTTAAGGCGATGTGGCTTGTTCTCCTGGTCGAAGTTGCATTTGGCTGAAAGATGGAGAATAGTTTAATATTTGGGTCTAGCTTGGAGCACCTTTCCCTCCAGACAGCCGCTGTCAACTGAGCCAAATCACCGCAAAATCAACCGCAAAATAAACGGGAGCGGAAGGTTATCAATTAGCCCATACCATCCCCAGCCATGAGGGGGATGCGCTGCTGATCATCGGAAGCTGGGCTGTCGCTATCTGTGCACCCGAGCGGATGGGATATTTGATAAACCCATCATCATCCACCCAACAGAATCCCCCCACTTGGTTTCCGCCATGTACCATGTCGTTCTACGTGAGATCTAACACAAAAATCTGAACCAGAAACGCAATAGGAAATGCTTTTGAAAGAAAACTTAACTTAAAGTTTAATATTTTATTTAATCCACATTTGTATCTCAGTCTTAAATCTCCATTTTATTTATTTTTTATATAAAAAATGCGACTGTTTCTCTTTCTTTCCACATCGGACTTATTGGGACATGACTGGCGCATCGCCCTGGGCGACGACTTCATCATCGTCGGCGACAAACTTCCTCCTTGGCTCTGATAGTGCAACTTTCCAGATATACGCCAGCCATAAAACATATTTAATATACACATGTGAGTAGTCCCCCTCTTTACGATGGCCCACCAACCACAAAAGATACAACACCGAGTTGGGACGCCTTCGCGTGGCACGCTCCGGGTGGTGCTGAAATCGGTGGTAGTGGTAGCGGGAGGTGGAGGTGGAGCCGGTGGCGACTGCGCAACAAAAGCCAGAGAAGGAGCTGGAGGAGAAGGAGGAGGTGCGGCATCGGCAGCTACGGTCCAATGACCGATGCTCGCCATGTTCGCGCTCGGGCCGATCTCGATGGAAAGCATAACAAGCGAGAACGACCTCCACAGCACATTAAGAGCCGCGCAGTGGCAGTAATTCGCGAAAGGTATGCCATTGTCGCGATATAGACAGTCATGGTAAAAATAATACCCCAAAAACACTAAATATTATTAAATATTAAGGGAAATAAATAGAAAGAGGTTATGGGCTATGATTAGTGGAATAGGATCTTAAACTTTCGGTTTTATGATCCCAGCTATGAGATAGAGGATTATTTTAAGGAAAACCCCTATCTTTAAGATGAAATATCTGTATATCTGTATCTCCCTCTATTCTTACACCTATTTCCTTGCCCTCAGGTATCTCTAAGTGTAAATGTTTATTTTTTTTGTAGCTTTTTTGCATTTTATTTGGTCTGTCTGTCGAATTGCGTGGAAAGTTATCTTGGAATGGGACTGGGTCAATTGCGAAAACCAGTTAAGCGAGTGAGTGCGTCCAGGAGAAGTGCTTTCCCAGCTATGTATGTAGGTTTTGCAAGAAAGTTTCTCAAGATTTCTCAAGAAATGGATTAAAATTAGATCGAAGACACAAAGAGGCAATTAAAATGATTGAATTTCCGTATATCAGATGGGCGTTGGGTGATTACTTATTCGCACTTCTGGGCCGAATTATGCGCAAATGAAAAATACTTCGAAACGGCAGGTGAATCATCATCATCGACGCCTACGTCGCGGTCGCAGTAGCCGTCAACGTCGAAGTCGGCGCTGCGGTCAAGCAATCAGTCACAACGGCACACCTACAAACGTGAGTAGAGTGGGGTAAGGGTGTAGGTAGGGGGGTATGGGGGTTCGGTTCAAGAACGATCAAAAACGTCATTAAATTGAGCCCATTTCCTTTCCTTCTGATAAGCCCCTCCCCTCCAGTGACCCTTTCTGTGGCACAACAACAACAACAACTAACGGAAATAATCATAAATAATGAAATACATACAGTATCTTGGAGTTTTAAATAAAAAATACACAAAAAAAAATAATACAAAAATAAAAAATATATTATAGCATATATTTGTAAGCTTTCTTTGCCCTAAGTAAGCCCTGGTTTTTGTCAGTGTGCCTTGCAGTCACGGCTCAATGGCAGTTGTGGGAAGGAAAAAGGGTATGCCAGACCAGACCAGACCAATATATAGAGAGGAGAACCAGCAACAGGCAACTCAGGTAAGGCACTCCAGGTAAGCCAGAACAAATTTATTCACAATGGCCCGTCCTCCCAGTCCAGTCCTCCCTTCTTTGTGGCACTGCAGCGGATGCAGCTGCACCTCCAAAGGCTACCAGAGAGAGATGCCCCCAGCACGTGAACAAAGTGTGCTCCTCCCTCCTCAACACTCCCCCCTGGCTAGAAGTTTTGCTAAAAAACGCTAGATAAAAAAAATAACAAAACAAACAAAAAACAATAACAAATCGCAGTGGATAATAAAATGAAACCCCACAGTCAGTAGTAGTACGAGGTGATGCTTCGTCATCATCGTGACTGGGTGACTGGACAGCCACAAGAATTAAAAGTAAAATACAATAAAAACAATAAAAAATAAAATAAAAACAATATAAAATAAAACTAAAAACCAAACAAAAACTAACAACAACAAGCGCCACTTGGCTCGTATTTTTTGTTGAAATTTCAGGTTTAAATAGCACGCTGGCTTGAAGCTTAGAAGATTCTATATGGCTCTATATGCTCCGACTCTGGCTCTGGTATATATGCAAATTCTATACACACATATTTAGGTATTTTTTGTTGTTATTTGTTTTCCTGCCAGCCAGTTTGTTTGTCGCTATTCGAAATTCGAATATAAATATCCAAGTACTGCCAAGATCTGGCATGAGCTAAGCCCCTCAAGCGTTTTCTATAGATATATAGATACATATATGTATATATATTTCAGTTCAGTGTGTGTTTGTATCTCATCTTTAATTGCTTGAAGCCTGGGGAACTGTTCGGAGGGTTAATTATAATGATTCTCGGCGGTTTAGAAGCTCTGGCATTGACTAATTACAAGTCTCGAGAGGAGATCTCTGAAAAAGGGGTGAGGTGGGAGTGTTTTGGATCCAAAAATAGAGAAGTGGGGGAGTTCTATCTCAACTACGAGATACTAAAATTAGTAAACAATTACTTTATGAATCTTTTGAAAGAAAAAACCTAAAAATAAAACAAGAAACGTGACTGTATTCTTACGCATCATTTTCGTTCAATAACAAGTTTTATTCAAAGCTTCTGACACATTTTTTGGGGTTTGCCAAAATGGTATATTATTCAAAACAAGTACATTGATATTCTTAAGATACATATATATATGTCTGCTATATCTACTATTTATATAATTGTACTGCTCGAGTACTGTGTTTGAGTTTTAGACCCCCTAGATAATATTTGATGGGACATAAATTCATAAAAATACTTGCACAACCTCTTCCCGCGGCCTGACAGTTACGGTTAATGTCGTTTCGGTCGTAAAAAAAGTAACCAGAAACAAATTAGAATTAGGAACCAAACAACAAGAATGTTGATAAAAAAAAAAACAAATGCGTTATTACGGAGCAGGGCTATAAAAATTGCGGAGCAACAAAAGACATCCAAAGACCATCTAGACTCTAAAGGAAATGTAAACACAAACTTGACCCATTTGAGAAAATCACTTAAAAGCCATTGGAACCAAGGCTTTATGACTCTTTGAAGAACATGAGGTTGAGGTTGGAGGTTGGGGTTCTTTAAAAATAATTTTATCAATAAGCGGCAGTCTTTGCTTTCCAGATACGAGTTGTACTTCAGTTAACCTTTATGACTGTTAGCTTGCCACAGAAGTTGCAGCTGAAACCAGTTTCCTCCTCCGACACCGGATGACGCACTGGGCCCCCTTCCAGAGATTCCAGATTCGATCCCAACATTTATGTTTAATTAAGCAATTTCGGAGAGCAATCGAAGACTGCACTACGCCAATTAGCATAAGAGATGCGATCTCCGATCCCGATTGGGGTGGTGGTTGGGTGGAGGAGGAGCGAAGGAGGAAGTGGCGGCGATTGAGTTTCCATTTGATTGCGAAATGGAGAGATTGGAAAGCGGAGATTGTGTCTAGATGGGTGGGGTTGGGTTGGGGGTGGAATCAAAAATCAGAATCACAAGTGGATGTGCAATCCACTTGGACGGTTGCTCAACTATCCGGAGTTGGAGATAGGAAAGCATACAGGGTGCTTGTGGTGGGGATGTCTCAGGGGATGAGTGTTCCTCCATATGAGTCAGCAGTGCAAACAACTATGCATCTGGGCCGGGGTCGGGATCGGAGTCGGGGCAGGGCATCTGCCGCATGATAACACCACCCAGGGCGTGTCTTATTCCCAGGAGAAACATTATAGTGTTTCTATATTTGGAAATTAGAGCCAGAAATTGGAGTAATAGAAATTATATCTTTAATAAACAAAAGCTAGTTTTTTAGACCTGTAATCCTCACCTGGATTAGAGACCTTGTAGTTTTCCTTGGAAAAGCGAAACTTCAACTAACCCCACAAACGACTATTATAGGTAGAATCGGAAATCTGAGACGACTCTGCGGTTTGCTACAAAATTTGATTAGCTTTTCACTCCAAGTGTGGTAGAAAGCCTTTGAAATTATGCAAATCCAAAGGCATTTCATGCAACTAAAACTCCAACGAGCTGGAAAATTTTAATTAAATTGAGAAAAGCCAGACTCTGAAATCAAAAACCAAATCTACCCTACCACTCCCGAGGTCCGGAGTGCGGAGTCCCCCCATTTTCTCTGCTCAGGCCTCATTAAGTTTTATGCTTACTTTTCTCCTCGTCCCTTGATGTTTTTGTATTTATTATTAACGCTCTTGCTTTGGATGTGGATGTGGATGTGTTTCTATTCAAATTTAGAAGTAGAATGCACCTTGGAGCAGGGGCTGATGCTCCACAAGGGGGGTTCCACAAAATTATAATTCAAAAAAATATATATCTTCACTTTCCATTAGGTTTGAAAACTCGGAAAAGTCGGGAATAGCTTTCAAGGGGAGCTGGAGACCTCCCCCCTTCACATACGCCACTGGCTGCTAGTGAGTAAATAAAAAAGGGAGGCAGGGAGGTAGGCCCAGTGAAGAGGATGCAGGTGTAGTCCAACTAGAGGCAATGAACAGTGGAGTAGTGCGGCACAGTGATGTGAAGATGTCACCGTGGGGCAGCACTGCCATCAGCGACTTTGGCAGACGAGGTGGTGAGGAGGAGGAGGAGTGGGAGCCCTCTTGTCCCCAAAGGAGTGTGTGTGGAGTGCGTGTGTATACACACCCCAACTATTTTCTATGCAGGAGGCAGACTCACTCTCTTCGACCGAAATAAACTCACCTACACTGTCCCAGAGCATGTACATCGATGCCATGATAAGGGCCATAAAGTGATAAGGCTATTACCGAATGTTTATCGCTAATATTTGGTTATTATTAAAATTCAGTTATTCAGACTTGTGCGAGTTTTAGCACAAGTTTAATATATTTAATATTATGTGGGTCAGAAGAATGTCATTTATCGCTGCAGCTCTCGAAATGCTTCCGATTTGCCTAGTTTTTCTAGAATTTGAAAATTGTAAGTCGCAGAGAGTCGTAGAACAAAAGAGGGCCCGATAAGACAAGAAAAACCATGAAACCGCTGCTGATAAAAAGCTAAAAGACGAGTGGAGTGGGCTTGGAGCATTACAAAGGCCAAAATCGCAATGCCAAAGAAAATGTTATCTCTAGGCCTGATTACATGGGCGTGGCGGGGTGGATCAAGTACTCCAACAATTTTTAGTACAAGCACCGTTAGTACAAAAAAGGGACGGTCGGAGGCAAACATGCGTAAGTAAGCAGAGCTCCATTCGAGTGTTAAGAGATTGTGTCAGCGAATGAGTGAGTTATTGAGTTGCACTCACCCTCCAAAGAGTACATATGTGTATGTGTGCATACCTGTACCTCCCTCCACCTGTAGTATCTATTGATCGGAAGGGAGGGAAAAGGTCAACAGCAACAACGAACGGTCCATAAAAAATTCACACGTAGCTTGGGATCGGGTCGCGATTAGATATTTCATGGTCAATGCCAGTGAATAGGCTGGGATTTGTCTCACACAATATGAGTAGAGGAGAATGCACGAGTGCCTCTTGCAGTTGCAACCAGCGGGAATCAGAGGTGGAGGGTAGGCAGGCAGGCAGGCAGATGATGGAAAACAGGTTTTTGTTTCAAGAGCAGATCTCAGAATTCTGGGCTGGGGTGTTGAATGAACAAGAGAGTGAGAGAGGCTGGAAAACAGGATGAGGCCGAGAGACCGAAACACCGAAAGAAAAACGAAATTACCGTGCCGAGGCCGTGTGTGTGTGCAAGCGAGAAGGTGCAACAAGTTACCGTCCCACAGCACACAGCGGGGGGCAGGCACATGGCGAACAGCGCCAACAGTTCATAAATTTAGTATGTTTGTTTACAATGTACTTTGTTTAAACATTCTTCCCGGCCATATTTTAGTTAATTTATTTTTTAAGATTTTCCCAAAAAACAGCTAAAACCCAAAGCTGTTACTTACCAATGCCGAATGCCTGCTTGGCATTGCAGTCGCTCCACACACTCATCTTGAGTGGCTTTTATTTTCGTTGTTTTCGCCAACTTCTACCACCAACACACTAACACGATTAAAACAGCTATCGCGATCACCTTCCACTACCACTCATTCACATGCAGCCAGCCGCGTAGTGGACTTTCGTTGGCGAATATCAACAAAACAACAAAAACAAAATTAGGCAACAACAACGTAGAGCAACACGTAGTTGAAATTTCGGTTTTCACAATGCCGCCATCAGAAGAATTTCATTTCACTACCGATTTCGCCCAAAGAGCATTGATTGCAACAAATTCATAGGTACAAATAATTATTATTGCACAATGGCCTGCATTCCACTATTGTCGCTTTTAATGCATTATTTTGCGTTGTTATCCGCTCGTTTTGTTCTCGATTTGGGAGTTGGCCCGCCGCTAATAATCTCCACTCGCACTCCCGCACATGCACACACACACGAGCATGGGGCTAGTAATTAATTAACGAGCGCTCTTAGCCCGCGTTCGGTTTGGCTTAACGGTTGAAGAGTGAGTGAGAAGATGGAGAGCCACAATTCGAGACCGCCGGGGCAATTCAGTGTGACCATAGTAATAATAGTTGGCAACACCAAAAACCCTAAGTGTTGAAAAAAACACTACTTAAACTGTTGCTCTTAAAACATTTTTTTAATAAAGTTGGCTTTGAAAAACATTTCTTAATTAGAATTAAAAACCAACAATGCAAATATTACACCAAAAGTAAACTTTTGCAAAATTGATGTAGTTACAGTATTTTATAGGGAACCCTCCGCCGCTTGTCGGCAATTCGCGGCCAAAACTGGTCATACTGCTGGCTGCATCTTCTTCGGACATCGTGAAAAAATCGGCGCGCCATTTCTGTCATCTTTTTGCGTCGAAGTAGCTCTGTTTATGCAAACTAAGCAAATTCCCGAGTGTTTATTTGTTTTAGACAGAGCCCGGCCGACCGGCAGCCGCCACAGCTTCGAAATAAAAGCTCCTTCAGCACGTTGGCCAACGTTGTGAAATCGAGGCATTGCTCATTCCGATAACTTGTGCAATTCCTACGGACGAACAAAGGGGACTACCCGTTGAAATACCATCAGACGCGTGACATTCGAGTGAGCATCATGTTTGGTGGCTCGAAACCAGCCTATGGAGCTACCGCTGGGTCCACCGGATTCGGTGGGTTTAGCGGCGCCACCACGAGTACTCCCTTTGGGCAGTCGGCCTTTGGAAAACCAGCAGCTCCTGCATTCGGCAGCACTTCGACCTTTGCTGCACAACCGGCGCAGCCTTCGTTGTTTGGAGCCGCAGCTACGACTGCGCAGCCAGCTGGAGGATTGTTCGGGGCCGGCACCTCGAGCGCCTTTGGAAGCAACACTACAGCCCAGCCGACTTCATTTGGAGGTTAGAATCGAACAAGCAAGCGTTATACGTCATATTTTATACTTTATTAATGGTTTCTACTTAATTTTTAGCTTTCTCTCAACCCCAGCAGACATCAAATATTTTTGGAACCACACAAGCAGCATCCACACCCTCTCTTTTCGGGCAGTCCACTCTGCCCGCCTTTGGAGCTGCCAAGCCGGGGATTACGGCTTTCGGCCAGACGGCCACAGCCCAGCCCACAACGTCGTTGTTCGGTCAGCAGGCAGCTGCAACTAGCACCTCGGGATTTGGCTCATTCGGACAGGCAGCACCAGCCACAACAAGTGTATTCGGCAGCGGCACGAGTTCCGCCTTTGCGCAGCCTCAGGCCGCGGGTGTGGCAGGCGGAGTGAATCCAGGCACAGCCGTGGCCAAGTATCAGCCGACCATCGGCACGGACACCCTCATGAAGAGTGGTCAGCCCAATAATGTGAACACCAAGCAGCACTGCATCACGGCCATGAAGGAGTATGAGCTAAAGTCACTGGAGGAACTGCGAATGGAGGACTATCTTAGTTCGCGAAAGGGACCACAGGCGGGAACTGCTCCTGGAGCCTTCGGATTCGGCTCCCAGGTGGCTACACCGGCTCAGCCCGCAGCTACAAATCTCTTTGGAAGCACAGCCCAACCGAGTACTGGTCTGTTTGGACAAGCAGTCACCGAGAACAAGAGCTTATTTGGTGCATCAGCATTTGGCCAGCAACCGGCGACGAGCAGCGCTTTTGGAGCACCCGCCCAGCAGAATAGTTTTCTTCAAAAGCCTTTCGGAGCTGCAACGGCCACTAGTTTCGCTGCACCAGTTGCAGACGCCTCGAATCCCTTTGGAGCAAAGCCAGCGTTTGGACAGGGATCAAGCTTGTTCGGCCAGACGCCCGCCACCAGTGCAGCTCCTGCTTTCGGCCAGACCTCCACTGGATTCGGAGGATTTGGCTCCACAGCCGGCGCAGCTCCACAAACATCATTATTTGGAACGACACCAGCTGCCGATCCGAATAAGCCTGCCTTTGGATTGGGCACAGCAGCACCAGCAGCCAACACCGGGTTCGGATTCGGGGCCACGGCCACAAGTACCGCGGGAGGAGGACTCTTTGGGGCCAAGCCAGCGACTAGCTTTGCAGCGCCTGCCTTTGGAGCGACTTCCACGGCTAATACGGGATTCGGAGGCTTTGGCCTGAATACCAGCACAGCGACCACAGGTGGTGGTCTCTTTAACTCGGGACTAAACAAACCGGCTACATCGGGTTTCGGAGGATTTGGAGCCACCAGCGCCGCACCGCTTAACTTCAATGCAGGAACCACAGGAGGATCCCTGTTTGGAAACGCGGCCAAGCCGGCAGGAAGTTTATTCGGAGGAGGTACGAGCACTCTGGGAGGCACGGGAGCTGCGCCAGTGGGAGGAGGCTTGTTCGGCGGTGGAACTAGTGCTTTCGGGAACACGGCAGGATCGTTGGGTGGTGGATTCGGTGCTCTGGGAACAAATAACTCATTGACAGGAGGACTTATGGGAGCGCAGCCCACTGTGGGCATTGTCACCCCATCGCACCAGCCTATTCACCAGCAGATTCTGGCGCGGGTCACTTCTCCCTATGGCGACTCGCCCATTTTCAAGGACCTGAAGCACCGGGACGATGTGGATGCCACTAGGGCCACAAACCCGGCCGCCCAGCAAGCTGTATTGGATATGAATAGTAATCAGTACAAGATTGCCACCAAGGACAGTCCCGCGGCCATGAAGGTCAAGGCACTGGGCAGCTCCCTCAACCGGAAGTCTTTGTTCGATGGCCTCGAGGAGTTCGACGCGAGTGTGGAGGGCTTCAACCTCAAGCCGAATGCCAAACGTCTGGTGATCAAGCCCAAAGCAAAGCCTGTAGAAAGTGGAATGCCATCGTCATTGAACGGCAGTGGCCCCAGTACTCCTCAGTCCCGTCCAAAGGTAGGATCTCCCAACAGGGAACGAGAGTCATTTGGTGGTGTCATTCCAAGTGAACCGCCGGCAGCTGGCAACTCTCCCACTGCTTTGACTGGAAGGGAAAGCCAAGAAGGCACTCGCCGCGAGTCGTGGCTGCATCCCAACAATCTTGAGAAGGTCCGTCAGCATAACATCCAGACGGGCATGGATCAGAGCTCGCCCCACAACAGTACTCTTAACGAGCTGGTGCCACGCAAAGCTTTGGACACCTATCGCCCCACTTCTAATGTTCGCCTCTCGGTGTCTACTATTCCTGAGAATCCGTTCGAGGACCAGGCCAGCGCCATAGCTCGTCGCGACACCTTCACCTCTGACCAGGCAAACGATAGCTCGATTTTGGCCAGATCCCGCGACCGGGAAGCGGACGATCATTCAGGAAACAGGTCACGGCTGGCCATTGAATCTGCCAGCGAGGCTCAGGATTACGAGCCGCATCCCACCGGCATAGTGTCGCGTCGCGTTGGCTACTATACCATCCCGTCGCTGGATGATTTGCGTTCGTATCTGGACGAGGATGGCTCCTGTGTGGTGCCCAACTTCACGGTGGGCCGCGAGGGCTACGGAAATGTATTTTTCGGCAAGGAGATGGATGTGGCTGGACTGAACCTGGATGAGATCGGTAAGGAATTGATTCTTAAATTACATTACTGAGCATTATATAACCAAACCCATTGCAGTTCACTTCCGCAACAAGGAAATCATCATTTATCCCGATGATGACAACAAGCCACCGATTGGCCAAGGATTGAATAGGGAGGCACAAGTCACACTGGATCAGGTCTGGCCGTTGGATAAAACCAAACACGAAGCTGTCAAGGATCCGCAACGCCTGCTCGACATGGACTGGGAGGGAAAACTGCGCCGGGTGTGTGACAAGAATGACACCCGCTTCATCGAATTCCGGCCAGAAACCGGTAGCTGGGTCTTCCGAGTCAAGCATTTCTCCAAGTACGGCCTAGACGAGAGCGACGAAGAGGAGGAGCTGCCCACCGATCCCAAGAAGGCCAAGATGGCGGCCCTGGAGGCACAGCAAAAGGCGGCTGCCGATAAGATGACTCTGAACTCGTTGCGGCAGGCACAAAAAATTTCAGAAGACGCAGCTCGCAGCTTGGATCCCAAGGCTTTGGTGGCCGGAGTGGCCAATGGATTTCGCCCAATGGACGACACTGCAGAGTTCCTCTTAATGGACAAGACGCGTAAGATGTCTTGACTTTTGTGTAATTTTCCTTTGTTTACAATTTTTGCTTGTGGATTCACAGAATTTTTCCAAGCTGGCGCCGCCGGATCAGATTTCTCCATGTTCGATCTACCAAGAACCCGGCCCACGATCACAAGTCCAACTTCGTATCTGGCCCAAGAGATGGTGGGCAACGAACCGCACAAAATGCAGCTGATGAAGTCTTCCCTGTTTGTGGAGGACAATGGCAGCGAGGACGAGAGCATGGGTAGGTCGATTAGATGTTGAATCAAGTTGTAAGGACTTTTAAGTCAAATGATGTATAAATTGTTTGTTAGTATTATTATATTTTCTATGTTTACCTTACTGATGAAAGTTTTAATGAATTAAAGAATAAAAAGAATAAATAAACATAGACGGAAGCTTGTTTGTCAGATGGATTAGGTTTCACCATCATCCAGAAACATACGAAATTAGAGCTTAAAATCATGTATAAACTATAGTTGAATTGGAAAACCATTCTTCATGCTATAACCAACAATTTTTAAAATAGATCCCCGCCTGCCCCGCCAACGAAACTTCTTCAATGCGGATCCGAATCCCTGGAAAGATGGCGCCTCCGAAGGTTCCAGCCAGTACGATTTTGGACACCCATCCCTCGCTCTGCCGGTGTCTTCGTCCGCGTCTGTGGCTAGTTTCCTAGGCGATGCCCATTCTGAAGAGGTAATCCCAGACTCTATTATCCGGAATCTCCTGAATCACAACTCATTTCATTTTAGACATCTTCTATGGCTACTGGAAGTATCGTGGGTGTCGCAAAAGAAAAGCCTGTTTCGGGGCCGACCATTAAAGTATTCAAATTCGTATGTAAGCCAAAGGTGGCTCCCGTCAAGATGTTTGCCACCACAGTTCCTTTGCCGCGGTCCATTGCCAATGACCTGACCAAAAACTGGGTTGCCGATCTGGGTCTGTACAGGGGTCGCAGCTTTAAGCTGAACTTCGGACCCCACAACATGCTGATGCTGCCCACCACGTTTAACAACCAAATAAAGATGAAAGAATGTAAGTGGGAGCTCTACTCTTGGATTTAATCTATCTATAATGAAACTATAATTATTTTAGTCACTGGACCGTCTATCCCAGCGTCTATGGTGTTTGCCCCCCGATTGCCTAGCGATTTGTCGCCCAGTGTCATGCAAATGGTGCAGTTCAACATGGTTGGCGGCTCGGAAAGCTTTTACGAGAGTATTGTGCCACATCTGGAGGTACAGCTTGGTGACTGCTTGTCGGTGGAAGTGGAGGGAAGCGAATGCCCATGGCTTCATCCCGACAGCGGTACGCAACTAGTGTCCAAACACTTTTCGGAGTCGCTGAAGCAAAGAAACGCTGGCCTCAAGGAGGACTACGCTGTGTCCGTGTGGTCGCTACTTTTCGCGCTGTGGGGTGACCACGAGGAGCTTGTGGATCTGGACACTAATTCGCATTACACCGTCATGTGCCGGCGAAACCTGCTCTCGGAGTGGCTGGAAAACACGTTGCTGGGCAAGGACTTGCTGTCGAAGAAGGTGAACAACCATAGTTACCTTGGGCATATGCTAGACCTACTCAGCTGCCACCGGGTGAGCGAGGCCTGCGAGCTCGCTTTCAACTACGACGACGCCAACCTGGCCTTGATTTTGGCGCAACTGAGCTCGGGACCAGTATTTCGAATGCTGATGGAGGAGCAACTCTACGCATGGCAGCAGAGCAAATCCGACAAGTACATCGACATGGAGCGACTCAAAATGTACATGCTTTCTGCTGGCGTTCCCATGATGCAGTCCTCGCAGGGTGCTATCAATCTCCTTGAGGATAACAATTGGTTAACGGTGTTGGCCCTGCAGCTGTGGTACTTTACAGCCCCCACATCGTCCATCACGGATGCTCTACTTGCCTACGACAAGGCGTTCCAGGCGGAGGAGTGCTATGCTGAACCACCTCTGCCCAGTTACGACGGAGCCCCTAACGACAGTGATAAACCTGTCTACGATCTTCGCTACCATCTCCTTCAGCTGTACTCCAAGCGCTCGCATTCCCTGGAGAAGACTCTAAATCCAATAACACATACCTCCGATCCCATGGACTTTCGTTTAAGGTGGATATATTTTAAATAGGTCTTTAAATCGTAAAGATTAATTATTTTATTTAAAATTTCAGCTGGCTCCTTCTTCAAACCCTGCGTGCGTTGGGCTACCGTCACTGCTCCGTCCCGACGGAAGCTCGTCTGACCGTTGACTTTGCCAGTCAGCTGGAAAACGAAGGCCTCTGGCACTGGGCCATTTTTGTGCTGATGCATATCAAGCGCAGACCCCAGCGGGAGCGGGCGGTGCAAAATATGCTGGAACGCAATGTCAGCGTGTCTGCCAAGGTGGCTCTAAACCACGAAGAGAAGTTTGTTATTGATAAGTTGGGAGTCCCAGAGTCATGGTTGGACTACGCCAAGGCAGTTAAAGCGGGCTCATTTGGAAAGCACCACCTGCAAGCTAAATATCTACTGAAAGCAAGGCACTGGGCAGCTGCTCACGAGGTCATCTTTGAGCACATAGCTCCTGATGCCATCATAAATGGTAGGTTAACAACCAAACATGCTTTCTAAAATATATATTTATCTTTATTTTTAATTACAGGAAAATTGGAATATCTGCATAGCCTGCTCATCCAGTTCGAGGACACCGAAGGCAGCAGCATCCGAGTGCCCAACTGGGCCAACCAGGGACAGATCTTCTTGGACTTCATTGACATAAGTGCCAAGTTCAAGCATATCCGTTCAGTGACGAACATTGCCGACATAAACGCCCGCTGGGAGAACCTTAAGCCGCAGCTCAGTGAGCTTTGCTCTCGGATCAGTCTGCTGCCGTGTCCCAGCTCCAAGCACCGACTATGCCAGAGCGAAATCGCGCAGAGCTTGAGCTGTCTGGTACATGGCATGTGCATAGTGTGTGCGGAGATGGAGCCCTCAGCTGTACTCAAGTCGGCATTAGAAAGACTACCCTTGCCGCAAGAGTTTTCATCCAAAGAGCTGCGAATCCTGCTCGAAGAACTGCTGGAAAAGATTGAGAACGAGCCTCCGTTTAGGGAGAAACAGTCCATCATGATGGAAACATGAAATCTTTGAAGAAGAATAGTAGTTTAAGAGCAAAGTCTAGATAAGGTTGACATTAGGAATAGGTATAAAAATTCACTAGCGGGCATGACCCACATGCCACAAAGCGCCAGAGTTAGGATAGTTCTTAGGACTTCGATCAGCCATGATTACTTCATAGATAGGGACAAAGCCAGAATCAGTAATATATAGTTTTTGTTACATTTGTTTATATCGGTATCTTACTAAATTGAGCTAATCTGTCGAATTTCATAACTGTAATATTCTTGATAAAAAATATTAAATAAAATAAAATTTGTTGTCAACAAAAAGATCAGATTTAGTTCGATAGCTCAGCGGGTCTATCGATAGCTCCATGAAAAGCTACACCTGGGTGGAATGTAAAGCTAGATCAGTTAGCAATCGGTTGCTGAAAAGACCACAACTGTCTAGCAAGGAATTAACCACCTGTTGACCACCAACTAAGACATGGCATCCGCTGCTCCAGCCGCTACGCCCGCTCCTTGGTGCGGTCGGGACTCCAAGCCGCGTACCTTTGAGAAGCACTCACCGGTCATCTGCTATGATAAACCAGAGGCCTCGATCGTCTCCAAACCGGAATATGATGTAAGCTTTTTGTAGACCATAAATATTCCCTCAGATATGCTATCTGGAGACCCTTGATAAGGGTACTCTTAATACTCTTTTGGCTTAACGTGTGTGATGTTTTCCTACCAACTAGGACAAGCGCTTCCAGGCTCTAACCGGTGATCTTGTTCAGACCCTGGTAGTGCCAAAGAGGGAGGCTCGAACCTGGACTATGCAGGCAGGCGATCTTTGCCGTGTTACCGTCAACGAGGGCTCTCAGGTGGGCGACATGAACTTCTGGAATCTGGACAACACTGCTGAACGCTTCTACTCGGGCAAGACACGTCAGCTGCACTCCTCGCACCTGCGCGTCTATGATCGTCTTTGGAGCTGCTTGCCTTACTTGCGTCCCATGGCCACCTTTGTATTTGACTCTCTGGCCAGCTACGGGATCGACGATGATGGCGGTTCGCTGCACGACGTTATTGGAACTCGCTGCGATGACTATACTTACAAGTTGATTACAGGCAAGGATAGGGTGGGCAGCTGCCATAGCTCCCTGGTAAAGGCCGTGGTAGAGGAACGCGGTCTGACGGAGCAGGATGTGCATGATGTTTGGAACATCTTCATGTGCACCGGGTTCACCCGGGACACTCATCAGTATTTCTGTAAGCCGAGTCCTGCACGCAAGGGGGATTTCATAGAGTTTGTGGCCGACATGAATCTGTTGGTAGCTCTCAGCGCCTGTCCCCAAGGCGATGTCTCCATTCAGGTGGGCGCCGAGGTGCCGGACGACAAGTGCCACCCCCTCAAGGTCGAGGTGTTCCGCAAAAAGTAATCTGAGCCAGATTCATTTGTATTCCGTGTGCCATACACCATATTGTGCCATTGATGTAAACATCGCTTTCGCAAGAATTTCAAAGTTGTGACTAATTTACAAAGATACAAATATTGGTATCAAATTATGTAATTACTAATTACACATAAACATTGTTATTAAAATGGTTAAGGGATTTAAATATGAATAAAGAGCAACAAAAAAATTATAAAACCTATCGATTTATTCAATTTAAAATTGAGTTAAAAAATAAATTTATCTAAAAACTATTGCTAAATAAAAGTTTAGTGTCGAAACTATAGAATCACAATTTTTAAAATTGGAAAATTTAGTTTTCGGAACATCTTTGATAGCCCTCTATAGTGTGACCAGACTCTCCGCTTTTTCCACAATTTTTTTTTGTTTTCTTTTGTTTTTACTGCCAACTATATTTTGCTAATGCTAAACAATCGTTTTTAATAGAAACAAGCTACCAAAATGAGCCAAATCAAAGGCGAGGATAATCTGGAGAGGCTGCGCAACTATATATTGCGTCCAGACCTCGCCCTTCACAACCCGCTACCCGAATTTGTGCCGCGCAAGTTTGATCCGATGCGCCTGTTGAATGTTCCCCGGTGTCCCGGCAGCACTAAGCTGGCACCTCGCAGAGATCAGAATGGACAGATCATCGAATTTGTGGAAATTGAACTGGAGGACGTGGGAGCCAATGCCAACAATTCAATGTCCATGCAGCGGGAGCCGGGCCTGCTGGAGGAGGCCACCCGGGGATCCCATTCCAATTTTCCCTTCTGGCCCGGTGGCTTCGATGAACAGCGCCAGCAAATTGCTGATCTCGAAGTGGAGAACTTCCACTTTGGCGACAACCTACTAACAGTGCCGCCGGGATTTTCGGTGGGCCACGACTTCTCCACGTCGCATCCACTTCCCACAGGGCCTCAGGTTGACGACGATCCCAGTTCTAGCAATGTGGACCTTCTGAAGAACCTGGAGAAGGACTTGGACGTGCAAGAGTGGATGAAACTGACTAAAGAAGGTGGCGAATCTGCCACACCACAGTTTCCGAGCGATGGATACCTCCCATTTCCCACCGAAGAGTTCAAAGACGTGGATGACCAAATTATGAAAGCGGACCTGAAGCCGGTTCTAAATATCTCCACCACCACGAATACCTTCAAGAGTGATTGGGCCGAGATGGTGGATATTAGCCAGCCCATCAACAACTTCAAGGAACAGATACCTTGCCCAGCCATGGACTTTCCGTTCGAGCTGGACGTTTTTCAGAAGCAGGCTATTCTGAAGCTGGAGCAGCGCCAGTATGTGTTCGTAGCCGCCCATACATCGGCCGGCAAAACGGTGGTGGCAGAGTACGCTATCGCCCTGTCCAAGCGGGATCTCACCCGGACCATTTATACGTCTCCTATCAAGGCACTGTCCAACCAGAAGTACCGTGACTTCAAGAAGACCTTCAAGGATGTTGGATTGATAACTGGCGACCTGCAAATCGAACCCACCGCCTCATGCCTGATCATGACCACGGAGATATTGCGTTCCATGCTTTATTGTGGAAGTGAGATCACCAGGGACTTGGAGTACGTTATTTTCGATGAAGTGCATTACATCAACAACCCAGAGCGAGGTCATGTGTGGGAGGAGGTGATTATACTACTGCCGGACCACGTCAACATTATCATGTTGAGTGCCACAGTGCCGAACACCATGGAGCTGGCCGACTGGGTTGGCAGCACCAAAAAAAGGAAGGTGTATGTGATAAGTACCCTGAAAAGACCCGTGCCGCTTACCCACTTCCTCTACACGGGAGCCGGAGGAAAGAGCAGAGATGACATATTCCTTTTGGTAGATGCCCAAGGCAAATATCTGCAGGGCAATTATGAAAAGGCTGTGGAGCGGAAAAAAGAGATGCAAGGAAAGTCCAAGTCAGGACCGGGAGGAGGTGGTTTCAATGGACCCAAAAATCCAAAGCTCGATCAGTACACTTGGATTGGGCTGATTGACTTCCTCAAGCGCAACAACAAAATGCCGGTGGTGGCCTTCACGCTATCGAGGAATCGATGTGACGCAAATGTGAGTGCTTTGCAGTCGGTGGATCTCAATACGGAGAAGGAGAAGGGAGCGGTGCAAAAGTTCTTCCTGCAGTGCTTGGCCAAGCTGAAGCCGCCGGATCGCACTATTCCTCAGGTTCTCGTTCTTAAGGATGCGTTGGAAAGGGGCATTGGCGTCCATCACAGTGGCATCCTGCCAATTCTGAAAGAGATTGTCGAAATGCTCTTCCAGAACGGTCTCGTTAAGCTACTCTTTGCCACCGAAACCTTTGCTATGGGTGTCAACATGCCGGCCCGCACCGTGGTCTTTGATTCGCACCGAAAATTTGATGGCGTGGAGGTCAGGAACCTAAAGCCAGGGGAGTACATCCAAATGGCGGGTAGAGCAGGCCGACGTGGGCACGATGAGACCGGTACTGTGATCCTGCTGTGCAAAGCTAACGTGCCGCCGTCAATGGAGCTGAGACCAATGATCCTCGGACTGCCAGAAAAGCTACAGTCCCAGTTCATTCTACGCTATGCTGTCATCCTGACGTGCTTGCGCATCGAAAGTATCAAGGTGGAGGAGATTATGCAGTTCAGCTTTAAGGAATTCAGCCAGAAGCTGCAGCTCCCGACACAGCAGAAGCAACTTCGGGTGGCCGAGGCCAAGTTTGCAATGCTGCCCACCCTGGGAGAGCATCTGCACCCACTCGTCCATTTCTATGACAAGGCCGTGGAGTATTGGAAGGAAAAGCACCGCAGCATGGTAAGTTGCGGTTTATATATTATAAATTCTGAATCTACATTTCATCTCCATATATTCTTCCAGAAATTTATAGTGTCCCAAGCTAAGATTCAAAAGGAGCTCAAGGTGGGACGTGTGATTGTCATCACCCATGCAAAGCACTACAACAAACTGGCTATCCTTCTGCTCATCAAATCCGTACCTGGAAAGGACACTGTTTACAGAGTCCTAGTCCTTGACCATCAATTCAAAGCACACGATAGTGAAGGCTTTCAGCGGGGCGAGCTCTACTACAAAATTCTGTCCCTGACGCCCAAGTACAAGTTCTTCCAGCCAGAAGGAATTGGTGGCCATACCATCCTCGATGTTAAAGCGCAAGATATTGTGAATATTACGAAGAACACATTCAAGGTGGACGCGGATGTCATCATCCGCAACTGGGAGCAAAGACAACTGGAACGATTTAAGGACACACCACCCGGTGGAACTGTGGTGAAAGCTGTCACCGAGTTGCACCAGCTGAATGAAAGCTATATGGCGAATCCGGCGAGCATCAAGTTCGTGCATTTAAGCAAGGAAATCAACGTGAACGCGGACACGGAGTTGGCGATGATCCACTATGTGGATCATTTGTACAAACAGGTGGACGATCTACTGCCGCACACCAATATTGCCGGTTTTGAACAGGAGTTCGCCAAGGTCTTTGAGCGCCGAATGCTAGAGATCCACATTGAAGAGCTACGCTTTAAGAACTCGGCCAAAAACCTATCTCTCTACCCGGACTACTGCAACAAGTTACAAGTGCTACGGGCTCTTAAATACATCGACGAATTGGACGAGGTTACCTTGAAGGGCAAGGTAGCCTGCGAAATGGGTCAGAACGAGCTGTTGATTACGGAGCTGATCCTGTGTAATATGTTCAACGATCTCGAACCGGCAGAGATTGCGGCACTACTGTCTGGCTTGGTCTTCCAGGCCAAGATTCAAGGAGAACCATCTATTCCGGAGCCGTTAAAGAAATACGTTGAGTCTTTTGAGCAGATTAATGAAACAATCCTGAAAGAGGAACAGCGATTCCAAGCATCTATCGAGACCGAGAGTCGTCTGAACTTTGGCCTGCTAGAGGTTGTATACGAGTGGGCCAGAAATAAGGTAAATTAAATCTTCAGAAATTAAAGTTGTGGTTGAAATAACATTTTTGTTTGCAGCCATTTGCCGAGATTATGAAGCTTACTGAAGTGCAGGAAGGCATCATTGTACGCTGCATCCAGCAATTGGACGAAACACTGCGAGATGTTAAAACCGCTGCCATTCGCATCGGCAATCCTGGACTGCAGTCTAAGATGGAGGAGGCTTCGGCAGCCATCAAGCGCGATATTGTGTTTACTGCATCCCTGTACACGGAACTCTAGTCGAAGCGACAAACAAGAAAATGAAGAAATATAATTTCTTACAATTAAAATTTATGCTTTTGTCAATTTTTGAACTTATAAAAAATGTATAAAATGTATGATTAACGCGAGGCGCGGGCAGGCGGAAGTCGGGGAGGTGTTGCGCCACGCAGAAGAGCAACTTCATCGAGACTCTGGCTTGAATTTGGGCGGCACCATCATACCAGTCATATGTTTTTGTTTCTTGGTTTTTTTCGACTTTTTCGACCCAGCTCCCGACTGGAAATCATGCCAACTGTTTACACGGCTTTGGCGCGACTCCTCAAAGTTTTGCTGCCATTCCCGGTCCGCCTTCACACGCTCCTCCTCTTCGATCTCCGTTTCACGTTTCCGCTTACGCTCTTCTTGGTCGCGCTGGTCAAGCTTCTGACGCCGACGTTCCATGTCGGCGAATAGCTTCATAACCATAACGTAAATGGCGTGTTTATACTTGGCGGGATCATCCTCTGGAATTGGTTCTGTTGGCCGGCCTTCTTTCTTAAGCTTTTTGCGCTTCTCCGCTATCTGAAATATACATTTTATATCAATATTAAGTTACATATTCTTTGTAAATCCTACTCACCATGTGATCAGTGCGTCCCTTTGCCTCTTCGTACACGTCCAGGCACTTTTTCCGCGTCAGTTCGTTTTCGAGGATTTTCCAGGCACGAGCCACAATGTCAAATGCCATCTGGGCGCGTTCCTGGTTGTCATGATTCTTATCCGGGTGAACCAAAATAGACAAGGTGCGGTAGCGCTTTTTAATGTCAGCTACCTCGGCCTCGGGCTCGATTTGGAGCACTTCGAACGGATTGAGATTGAAGTACGTAGAACCTGGACGAAGTAAACGATCAATTTGTTGAGAAGGAGTTAAAACTGAGTCACGTTTTTCAATTTCTTTCACCTGCAATAATAGGCACAAAACTGATTATTAAACTATTCAATGGAACGATGGTACATTTTTGTTTGAGTTTCTTGCAAACGGAGTCCGCAACAGCCCCAATCACAGGGGCCGCGGCGGTCCGGCTCACTTACTTCTGTGTAAAAATCCTCGAAGGTGTCTCGGGATGTGCCGGGCTGGTCTTTCGCCGATGAAGAGGACATACTCTCGTCTTGTATGTAAATTTCGCTATTTTTTTGTTTTTCTTAAAGATTTGCCTTTGATGGAGATGCCAAGTAAGTGTTGTGAAGTGACCTGCAGTAGGGATGCAGTGCTGAGAAGTTAAATGAGAAAATCAGGGCTGGAAAATAAATAACACTAACTTATTATTTTTAAGTCTTTAAACCATAAACCCGTTTAAAACAGACTTCTTACTAAGTTATATGTACGTTACAAATACACTGTCAGGTGAGATCACTGACAGGTAAGAAAACACAATTTTTAAACACCGATTAGCAGTGTTGTCAAACGCCTGCCATGACCGAACACATGGTTCGCGCCTAAAGTGTATTGATAAGATTAAATAATACCTTTAATAAATAAATGTATTCTCCAATCCATCGTGTGGGGCTGTTTTTAAATCGTCAAATACGAACCTCTCCAAAACTTATAGCAGCAGCAACAAGAATGTCTAGCAGTAACAGCGCAGCGGGGTCCGACACGGACATAGTTTGGATTGACATGGAGATGACCGGGCTGGATATTGACAAGGACAAAGTGCTAGAGTTGTCCTGCATTATCACCGACAAGGATCTGAATGTAAAATCCGAGGGCCCCAGCTTCGCCATAAATCATCCCCAGGAGGTGTACGATAATATGAACGAGTGGTGTATAAAGCACCACTATGAATCCGGCCTGGTGGAACGATGCAAGAACTCCCAAGTTAATCCCGATCAGGCTGAGGAACTATTATTGTCCTATCTCAAGAAAAATATTCCCGAAAGAAAATGCCCGTTGGGAGGGAATTCTGTCTACATGGATCGATTGTTTCTCCGAAAATATATGCCGCTGGCGGATGAATACCTACACTACCGCATTGTGGATGTGTCCACCCTCAAGGAGCTGGCGAAACGGTGGCATCCAGAGGTGGCTGATGCTGCTCCAAAAAAACAGTTTAAGCATCGGAGCCTAGATGACATCCTGGAGAGTATTGAGGAGCTTAAATATTACAAGCAGAGATTATTTAAGTAACTTATATTGGTAGTACTTAATAAGTAACTTAATTATTGATATTGATTTTTTAGGTAAAAAAGTTGTGTTCAATTTGCTTAGTCCATTAAAATTAAAAACGCCCCTCCATTAAAAATAAATTTTTATTTTATTTATATTTAACTCTAAAGTATATTTTGTTATGGGCTTTTTGTTGTGGTTTTCATTTTTTTTTTAATTTAAAATATAATAAAAAAAACTTTCTCACTAAATGGTGCGAATGTGGACCGAAAAATAAAATTCTATCATAAGAAATAAGAATACGATGGCAATAAAAAACTCAAAGCTAGTAGACGCCGTTGATATTATTGTGGGCGGCTGAGTAATGATTCGCCTCCTGCCGCCTCCGCGAGGATCTGTGGTTCGAATTGGCGCTGTCACTGCCGGTCACCTTTTCGGCTTCAATGCGTCCGGAGAGAAAGCTGGCCACGCGTTCCTGCAATGGTTTACCAAGTTAATATCTTAAATACAATATATTTGGGGTCCTTATCATACCAGGTAACTGTTGGTCATGCCCTGCAGATTGCCGTAAAAGGCCAGCATACGCTTCAAGAGAGATTCGGCTTCCTCCTTGGATAGGTTCTTAACCTTGTCCAGCTTAGAAATTGTAACTATGCGGTGGTTGATGTAAATGATGTGGTGAGCCACCTCGGTGGATGTGTGAGCCAGATTTCTGTGAAATATTAACGGTCTATTTGGAAAGTCAAGTTAAAAGAATTCAAAACAAACCTGGGAATATTGGCTGCTACATTGGCACTGAAGTTCACCAGATGCACTACTCTTCTAGCTGATTCCCTGGTAAGTAGGACTATTAGCTGTTCCAGGGTGGCGGGTCTCGCCTGGTTCTCGGGTTCATCTGCACTGAGATAGGCCCAAAGCTCCTTGGCTTTCTGCAAGGCTTGCTTGGGATCTGTGGCAATCTGTAAAAAGATAATTAGTATTAGTAATTAGTATATTAGTATTAGTTAAAAACTGATATTTTTGTTAACTAACCAGTTCGGCGGCATAGATGAGCACATGGATCGCCTCCTTGCTTTGCTTCTTGAGGGCGCGGGCCTCGGCAATGGTTCTTTGTGTGAGACGACGCTTCAGCTTGCGGGAGAAGCGTTGACCGTGATGGATAGCCTTGAGAGCACCTCGCTCATCCGGCACCGCTTCGTTATCATCTTCCTGTGGCGCTGAAAAGCGGATTTTTGGAATCGGTAAGTGTTTGAGTTTTGAGAGCGGATCTCTGTGGGATCGACTAGGCCTTATCGCCCGACTTTCTCCACCAGCGGATCCGAATGAATTCGCGTTTCTCAAGCGATAACCTCCTCGACAACGAAGAAATTTAAAAATAAACTATGAGATGAGTGCACCTTTAAGAGGAAAGAACCTAGGCTTATTTTCAACATGTGTCTGAAGACTAAAAAATGTATTAAAAATTTAATACTTGAGAGGAAGATGTATCTTCTAAAACCTTTTGAATTAAGCTTGTTTATTTTAAACATTAAACCTTAAAATATGTTTGTAACTCACCATCAGTCTGATCCTGATCTGTACGAATGGGCACCAGATACTTGTCCACGAACTTATCTCCGGCAGTGAATGCTCCGTCGATGCGATCGGCGGCATAGGTTGTCAGTGGGCTCTCCAGGACAGCGTTTCGAATCAGCTTGACCGAGTCAGCACGCTTCAGCACGGGACGCACCAGGTGATCCGACATGTACTCCTTTGTGTTCCAATACATCTTTAGACACAGAATAATCGACTTTTGTCAGCGAATGCGGAACAATGGCCGACGCAAATACTCACCATTTCGGGGGGCAGATAGACCAAGGGGATGCGCTGCTCCAGGATGTCCAGGCTCTTGCACATAACATTGTCCAGGCGGCGGAGCGAAGGCTCGAACAGCTTCACAGCCGGCTGTACCGTTTCATAAGCAGCAGTGATGGTGGCCTCGGCGGTCTCGAAGTACCAGGAGAATAGGCGATTGTTGTTCTTGACCTTGTCGTAGATGGTCTCCACTCGCTTCACGCTGGACTCCACAAGTGGAATGGAGGTAATGCGATCGATGGCCTCCAGATGGAGTCCACTGCAGCTGGTTGCAGTTGCTGTGGAGTATGATGAATGACATAACGTAAGATCTACAATCTTCACTAGCGGCGCGTGTCACTACTAACCCATTTGTTTAAAAAATATATTTCAGGGAAAACCGAAGAGCTATAGATGCGCTCGCTTTGGGAACTGAAGTGATTCTGACAAGCCTCGGGCACAGCGGCTACCAGATAGACTTGGTATTGCAGGTTCCCAAACCGAACTAAGTCAGAATTGCACCCATTGACCTTTTCTTATCGATAAGCTCCCGCCAGAGGCACAAACATCGTGTACCTAGACGACGCTTGACTGGCTTATCACCACGCCATTCGCAACAGTGTGGTGTTCCAAAGTACACTCGGACTTTGAGTAGTCCAGCCTAGGAACTCCAGGCATGTGAATCACGAAGCACGGTATCTGGACAGATCATAATCACATAATCACCAATCACCTGATTAACAACGTCCCTTGAAATAATTGCTCTAATTCGAAACCAGTGACGAAAGAGTCCAAACTTCAATCCGGCGAATAATTGCGGGGGCGTTCAAGATCCCCTTCGAAATCGGGTCGATGTGCTGGTTGCTGTCGTCCCAGACAGTTTCCATTAACCCACCAATGGAAAAGAAAACAATGATTATTTAAATAAATACAATTAAGTCAATGGCATTTCTGTGAATTATTTGTTTAATTAACTTAATGTTTTTACAGTTAACTAAAAGAAGAAAGAAAAATAAAATAATTTATTTGGTAACCCCCACTCCAACCGATTCCAACATTTTAAATAAATTGTTTAAAAAAATTTAATCAATAGGGATGGAAATTTTTCTTATTAAATATATATGTATGTACATGTTCAATATGTTAAGCAATGCTGAGGGTTAATTTTAACTGCTCTTTGTTGTCTGGACTGGTCTCGGAAAAATTTAACAAGGCAGTTCTACTAAAGCTGCGTTTTCAATGATTGTACCCTTAGAATTACATATATGGATATGAACAGTATGAAAGTTATGCCTCCAGCGAAGGCTATATCTTTTCCAATATCCATCCGATTCTTGAGCAGAATACCTTAAACGATTTTTACATCGAGTCTCCATCAATCTGCATCAAAATCTAGGAACAAAATAATTTTCCAATTTTTTGTCAAATTTTCTGGGGGGTCCCCTGCAACTTTTGGGAAATGCATGAAATGAATAAAGTGGCCTCCAGCGAAGGCTATATCTTTTCCAATATCCACCCGATTCTTGAGCGGAATACCTTAATCGATTTGTACATTGATTCTCCATCAATCTGCTTAAAATTATAAAACCAAAGTATTTTTTAAATTTGCTGTCAAATTTTCTGGGGGGTCCCCTGGAGGGAACATTTTACGCCTCTGTTTCTAATACTTTTGCATAAAAATATAAATGCATAGCATTTAAAATTTAAATTTTAAAGTTATTATTGTAATGTTATTTTCGAAAATAAATAAATGTTCAAATTTTAAATATCTATCGAATATTCGATACGGCTTAGACCAAAGACCTAAATGTGTGCTGTAAAATAGTATCTTAAAGATTCAAGTGTTGGAAAGAGCGTCTGCTATCTTAAAGATATCAGTGTTGGAAAGAGCGGCTTGTCTATTGGTAATTTTTGTTTGTTGCGTGTTTATCTTTTTGTGTAAATCCGCGTTTTATTGACTCCGTCCATAAGTTTTAGTCAAAGAATATGTTTAGCTGCTAGGTGTATAGTTATAAGACTTAATATGAACTATTACTTTGGTATTATCTGCCTAGCGGCCGTCCTAGGCTCAGGTTAGTGATCTTTCAGTTTAAGCCACACCCAAGGCTCAAACAATCTGAATCATGTGTATTAATTAATAAAAAAAAAACCTTTTAATTAAATGCAGCATTGGCCCAGTACAATCAACTGGAGCAGCGCAACTGTCTCATACCGAAGATCCTGCAGGGATCATGGTTTTCTTGGGAAACAGGTCTGCCCACCCAGACGGTAATAGACGCCACCTCAATGTCCCAGCGCGGGTACTGCATCAACTACGAGCGTCACCACGGAAGCGAGTACTCATTTGTCTTCAAGGAGCGCTCTAAGGACTGCTATCATTGCGTCAAGACCATCATTCGTACCCTTAACGTTTTTGAGAAGTTTGAGGGACCTTGCGTTGGGTTGCCGCCAGGTCAGGAGCCCACTGTGGAAAACGTCTGTTCCGGCATTAAGGACGATCAGCAGTTGATCACACTCTTCAACGAAAACTTTGTGCCCATCAACTGTCGGTCCTCACTGGAAGGAGTGTGGCACTTTACATATCAGGTAAGTTCGGAGCAAGCACCCACAACATGTACTCATTCACCAAAAGTTAATTAACCATAATTGATGATAATTGCTCATGCCTTTACTCTCTCTTCATATAGAATCGTTTCCGGTTTACTGGAGTCTGTGACAAGCCTGATGCTCGCATTCAATCCTGCCAAACGGCGGGCACCCAGTTCCTCATTCAGAACCAAAAGTTCAACATCACTTATCAGCGGTGCGAGGGCATGGAAGGCACCTTTAGCGGCAACGTGGAGTTCAGCTGCCTCGGCGATTGGTTTGTGGGCAAGAATCACTACTTCGCAGTGGCCAATACAAAGGAATCGCGAAAGGATGAGAAGTATCGATGCTTCCTAAAGAATCGTGATGATGATCTGTACGTGGGTGTGTCCATTACGGCCGAGTGCAACACCTTGAAGACTCCGGAAACGTCACCGGAACGCCTTAAACTTACGCCTGTTAAAGCGGAATTCGTAGAACCAGGCTGCACATTGCCTCAAAACTTCTCTGGCGAATGGGTCAACACCGCCAATATTGATGCGGATGTTTCCATTAGTGAAACGCACATTAACGAAACATACTATCCGGACAAAGCACGTTACCGTAAAACAATTTATGTTTGCCGGGAGCGTCGTGGTAATCGGGTGATGATGGCTCGTCTGACCGTGGATGGTTGCCAGAAGGATTACGTGTGCTTCGATTTCATGCCCCGCCACCACAACATCATCCGGTATCGCAAGGGATTGGCCGTAATTAAGGATGACTTCAGCACGGTTTGCTCTTGGGTTCAGTTTCCCAATTCCGATGCGTGGAAGTACGATCTTTTCTTGGCCAGAAATCCTGTTCCGGTTCGGTGCCCTGTCGCGGGTAAATTTAACTTTACCCAGCGAGGAGAACATCCTTTCAAGACGAGGTCAGTAGAATACTCAGTTTTTCACTTACTTTTCCTAATATATTTTTGTATATTTTAAAGAATTCTTGGTGGTGTCACGTTGAGTCCTCGTCCAGACATTCACTGCAAGCAGAACATCTCTGATTTATCGGTTTGCGATACGGATCAAAAGGAGCTGGCGGTGGACGAAAACTACTGCCTGTCCGTGGACCATTTGGGCCGGCCAGTTGATATCTACAGCGACCCCGATTACCGCATGAAGTGTATTGGCTTCTGGAAGGAAAACCTCAAGTCCTACCTCATCACCTACGACGATCTGGATCCGCTTTCAAAGTACCGCTGCTGGGTTTACCAGCGTGCCGACCTCAACCGCGTCCTCATGTCGCAAGCTGTGGGCGCCTTCTGCAAACTGGAGCAGGATGTAACCTCATGGAATCATTCGGAGGGCGCTGCTGTAGCCATCGATGCAGTGGAGTACGAACGAGAGCGTGACGACTGTCCCATGTACTTTGACGATGGATTGAACCCGTGGAAGCCATCGGATGCTTCCAACATTGTCTTCGACTGGGACTTCTACCGAGCAGGAGCGTCGAGTCTCGAAGCGAAACTCACCATCATTGCCTTTTCCGCTTACATGGTCCGGCGTTTAGCCGCGCACTAAGTTCAAAGTATTTTTAAGTTAAATCATCCAACGAAATTTATAAAGCCCGTCCATTTTTTCCGAGTGAGTCTCAGAATAGTTGTGTGCCTTAAAATGCAAATTGTAGAAACTTTTATCAAATGTATATCATAGTTTTTAAGCTGATCGAGTTCGAACTTTTAAATGTTAACAGCCATCCCGTCCCAAACGACTCTCAATGTTTATTTTAAATTCAAATAAATAAATATACAATATACAATTTATATTTCAATATTAATGCCCCATTTAGTTTAATACATTTTAAATATAATGCTAAAAACATAAAAAGTTTATGTCTACAACTATATTCTAGTTTCGTCACCTACGTAGACTGCCGTCTCAATATTTAGGCCTCCACTGTTTATCGATAACAATTCCAGAACGAAAACATAGTAGGCTACCCTATGTCTAGTGTTGTAAAACTTCGCAGGCATATTATTCCGAACAGCTAAAAGTTACATTTTATTTTGAGCTGAAAATTCTCTATTTTAACACATCCCAACATGTCCCTCTCGCTGATCCTGCGTGGCGCTGTCCGTTGCAATGGTAAGTGGTCATCAGGCGGTCGCTTATATGAATATTTGCCGAAAAACAGCTTTTATTATATAACCAAACCTTTTGTTGGTGTCTGCATTTAGCCGCAAACCTCGTTAAATCGGCCCGTATCACGCCCCTGAAGGCGTACTCCTCGCTGGTAGCCAATGCTCAGCGCCAGGTTAAGCCTTTGGTTGTGGCCAAGGCAGTTGCGGTGAGTATAATTAATTGGAATAATACTTCCTAGTCAATTATTAACTCCTTACTCCTTTTTTTAGCCCGTGGTGCGCCGGGAGATCTCTGTGAGTGCTCCTCGCATGGCTGCGGCCGAAGGAAATCATACCATGTTGTGGACTATTGAGCGTCTGGTGTCCGTCGGTCTGTTAGCTGTTATCCCAGCCGCTTTTATTGCCCCCTCCCAGGTACTGGATGCTCTTCTGGCCGTTTCGGTTGTCATCCACACACACTGGTGAGTGTTATATCCTTAGCCATGAAGTTATCAGACATCCAAGACCTAAGCAAAACACTCTCTGTTTATATATATTTTCAGGGGAGTAGAAGCAATGGTCGTTGACTACCTGCGTCCCTCGGTTGTTGGAAACGTTTTACCCAAAGTTGCCCACATTGGACTGATTGTCATTTCGGTGGCTGCACTGGGAGGGCTCTTCTATTTTATCCAAAACGACGTCGGATTGGCTAATGGCATCAAGCGATTCTGGTCTATTAAGGGAAAGCAGCAGTAAAGCCCAAAACCAGTTGACAAATCACGAAACCCCAGTTATTTATTCATAGTTTTGTCTGGAATCAGGTCCCGCGATTAGCCTTAAATAAACAATTGTATAAAGTAAAGCAGCTGCACATTTTTGTTTAGAATTTAGAAAACTGTATTAACACTTTCGGTTGAGGTTTGTCACAACACAACGTCACTTAATAAGATGGGCAGCAACACCTTTTGTTACGTATGGTAATCTACTGTAGGCAATAAACAAAGGATTATGGTCACGACCTGGTCTCCACATTGTTTGTGTAGAATAACCTCAGGGCATCCCATTGTTTGGTGTGCAGCAGAATGTGAGGCCGGCACTGACGCATATGATCCACCGCCTGGTCTGGGGTCCAGCCGTTTTTCTGCAAAAGATACAATTTATAATCTATTTATATACTTTCGTGTGCCTTTCAACCCACCAGCATGAGGTAGCAACCAACAAGTGTGGCACTTCGCGTCCTTCCAGCTTTGCAGTGCACATATACGGAGCCAATATTCTCTGGGGATTTGGTTGTGCTGAGCCCGCTGATTCTCTTTGTCAGGGGAAGAAACTGATTAATGAACTCCACGCCTCGATAGAGCTTCTCCTGGTTTGGCGACTCAAAAATGTCTGTGGTGGCTAGCTGCAGGAACTCGATACCCAGCTTGCGCCACTTCTCCGTGTTGTTGGAGAAGGCGGTCAGTTCATAGTCCTCGTTCATGGAAACCACTGCTTTCATATTCTCCTTCTCGATGAGCTGCAAACAATCTATGGATTAATTGGACCTGGTTTTCGTATGTCCTACTTACTTCATTGGCCTGGCTTCGAAAAGGCAGGGCGCCCAAGATAACATTCTCGTCTATGCGATCATACCAATTCCTGGCGGAGGCCTTCTCCATAAGGACATTGTACAGCAGGGTGGGATAGAAGGATACACGCGCGAACATAGCAGCCTGGAATAGGGCGGGTATAGTGGGAATGAGGGGCACAGGTCAGTATGATGGGCAAGGGAGCGTGCGCAACAGCTGTAACTTTCACCAGCTCTCTTAGACAGTCTTAAGTACTGATTCGCTTTCTGACTGTCTCGAACGAAGCGCGGATTGGAACTGGTTTCGGTTTGGGCTTTTGCCTGGGTGTCTGGTACGCAAGTCGCTACTTACACTCATCTCCATGCCGGGTGCCCACTGGGTGGCTGGCGGGATCGATCAAGACAATGGGTTGTGTGATTCACGGCTCCAAGTGGCCTTCCTCGTATTCTAATTAGTCCGCCGCCAAATTAACACCTCGACTCGGACGTCAAAACCTTCGATTTCCTTCTGCCAAACTTAATCTTTGCGTTCCTTTGCATAACGGAACAACAGGCGGAATTTCCAGGGACGCCCTAACGGGGGCTACAGAACCATTCACCTAGAATTGCTCTACAACCGAAATAAATACTTTAATAAAAATAGTAGGCTATTTTGGATTTAAAATTAAAATCTATTGACATTTATTTTTTATGTGCCAAAAGCAAGGCTTTTTTGTTATTTATCTTTTATTTTAATTAAGGTTAAGCTAGATTAATGGGCATTTACCTTATTATCACTAATTTATAGCTTTTAATTATGATAAATCCACAACTCCCATTTATTATTTTAAACGACGCCCATTTAACCGTCTGATTAAATTTCTTCGCTACCCAGCACTATAACTGTATGACCGTTAGCAACACTGAGCACTAAAAAACATTGCAACAAAAAAGATTAAAGAATCTTACGTGTGAAAAATTAAGGAAAGCAGCTTACGGTAGAGGCCTTTTCCGGTAAGCAACCGCTGCTGGCTGATAATGCGCCATCGATAGGACAAACGAGAATTCCGCGAGAAAGCAATCCGTCGAGCATATTGGCCGCCCCGTCCCCCAGGAAGAAGTAAATAAATACAACACGTCAGACGAAAGGCAGATAGAACAGACGAGGCAAAGACGAAGATCTAAATTTTCGGTGTTGACTCTTTCATACTAATTATTATCCCAATACTTTTACATACAAAATACAGATACGCAAGGATGAAGGCGACCGTTTGGATATGTGTGCTCCCCCTCTTCCTGGCCTGCTACCAGTTGCGGGCGGAGGAGCTCCAAGGCCCAACCACCACCACAGATGCCACAGGAACGGCAACAAGCTCAGGCACAGGCACTGCCCCTACCACAGGTACTGGGACAGCCACACCCACCTCAGAAGAGGTGACCACAGCGGAACCTGAAAGCCGTGCGCCCACGGAAAGCAACGAGCGCAAGGCAGCCAAGCCCAAGGAGGCCGCAGAGTACATAGCCCCGCGAACAAAGGTCCTGCCGACCGTTCTACTTGAAAAGCTGTGGAACGACAGCCTTTTGAGGCAACAAAAGCTCAAGGCTGAAATCGAGAAAATTGAAGCCAAGCGGCCGCCCACTGAGGTGGTTCAACAAACTCCCGAGCAGATCGAAGGTAGGCTCCCATGATTTACATATGTTTACATTCCGTTCTATAATGCGTATACTTTTAGCTCAAACCATGTATGATAACGCCATGGACATGCTGGCCAAACCCCGCACGGATAAGCGAGTGGCCTTCACGCTGCTGAAGAAGGCAGCGGCCTTTAATCACCTAAAGGCCAGGGCTGAACTGGCCTGGGCTGTTCTTCTAGGCCACTGGATGGACTTTGATTTCAATCATGCCGCCGACGAGTTCGAAAGTCTAGTCAACGAAGGCGTTCCAGAAGCTCACATGGGTCTGGGATACCTCTACTCAGCCGGAGTGGGTGGCAAAAACGTGAGCCAACCGTTGGCTTTGATTCACTACACCCTGGCCGCCCTTGGGGACAATACTCTGGCCCAAATGGCGATGGGTTATCGACATTTGTATGGAATTAATGTGCCAGTTAGCTGTGAAAGGGCGCTGATCCATTACAAGCGAGTGGCCAAGAAGGTCGCCTCGAAAATCACCTTCGCCAATGGACCGGTTGTACACCGTGTACGACTTCTGGATGAACTAGAGAACCCCGGTAGTCACGAGACTGAGATAGTAGACTACTACCAGCTGCTGGCCGATAAGGGTGATGTCCAGTCGCAGGTGGGTCTGGGCCAACTGTACTACCAGGGTGGCAAGGCCATCGAGCAGGATCACCAAAAGGCACTGGAGTACTTCACCCAGGCTGCCAATGCCGGCAATGCAGTCGGATTTGCTTTTCTGGGAAAACTTTATCTCGAGGGAAGTGAGCAAATCAAGGCAGATAACGAGACTGCATTTAAGGTGGGTCTCAGCATGATAAGCATTTTTTCAACTTTTGCTTGATAAACAATGATTCTGTTTAGTATTTCACGCGGGCCTCCGAAATGGGCGACCCAGTGGGCCAGAGCGGACTGGGTCTCATGTACCTGAAGGGTTTGGGTGTGCCCAAGGACTCCATTAAGGCGCTGTCCTATTTCACCCAGGCTGCTGATCAAGGTTGGGTGGATGGACAGTTGCAGCTCGGCAACATGTATTTTAGTAAGTAGCAAGAAAATGAGGGTTATTTTTTTAGAAAAAATTAGTAATTTTTCATTTTTAAGCTGGTAACGGAGTAAAAACGGACTATAAGTTGGCCCTCAAGTACTTTAACCTGGCTACTCAGTCTGGCCATGTCCTAGCCTACTACAACCTTGGTGTAATGCACGCTTATGGCTTAGGAATGCTGCGTTCTTGTCCAGCAGCCGTTGAGGTAACTGGCCCGTCACACAATCAGTACCTTGATTATTTATTTCTATTTATTTTTTAGTTCTTCAAGACTGTCTCGGAGCGCGGACGTTGGAGCAGCCGCCTAATGCATGCCTATAGCGATTACAAACAGAATCGCATTGATGAGGCCTACATGCAGTACTCATTGATGGCCGAGGTTGGCTACGAGGTGGCCCAAAGCAACGCAGCATATCTGCTCGACCGCGAGGAGGTTCATGTCTTCAATGATCGCCATGAGGACCTGATCCGTGCCTTCTATTACTGGAAGCGGGCTGCTGGCCAGGGCTATTCTGCAGCGCAGGTTAAACTGGGCGATTACTACTATTACGGCTGGGGCACTGCCACAGATTTCGAGACCGCTGCCTCTCTCTATAGGTAAGATTATGTCATACAATGTAGGCACTTGGTAATCTTCATAATTGTTATTTTTAGGAAAGCGTCGGAGCAACAGTACAATGCCCAGGCCATGTTTAACCTTGGTTATATGCATGAGCAGGGATTGGGAATGAAAAAGGATTGGCACTTGGCCAAAAGGCTGTATGACCTGGCGGCCGAGACCAACTCGGATGCCAAAGTTCCAGTGGCCATTGCACTTTTCAAGCTGCAAATGCTGGCCAAAATAGAATCCATTAAGGAGGTAGGAAATGGACCTATAAAAATGTAAAGCCCTCCGTTTAATCCTATTCTTCCTCAGTCGCCATACAGGTTCATCTTTTACATGGATGAAAGTATCGCTGCCAATTGGGATCTGTACATGATAACCGTTTTGACGCTTCTGTTGGGCATTATCATGTACATGAGGAGACCTTTCCTGCAACAGGATCAACCCGCCCAGCAGCCACCGGCGGATGATGTGGCTGCTGCGCCACTCAATGTGGCTCCGGTTGCTGGAGTTGCGGTTGGGGCTGCCGCTGATGAGGCTGCATTAGGGGCAGGAGCAGCAACCGCCACTGCCGAAGCAGCTTCTGATGCTCCAAGTGCAGCTGAACCTGCACCTTCATCCTCGGCATCGAGCTCTCAAACCGAAAGTACGTCGGGACGGAGCAGTTCCTCATCAGCGGCGCCCGATGGCGCCAATACACTTGATCCCACTGATTAGTGATAGTGAATTGGTTAATCATCTTCCTAGGTTAATTAGTATGCGTGTAAATAATTATCATCTAATTTCGCCGTTTTAATAATTTTTATTAATTCTAAAGCAGACCTTTTTAGATATTTAAAAAATATCGTACTCAGAATGAATGTTGTACTGATAAACCGATCGTCATTTAACATCAGGTTGTTTTTCTTTTGGGGTTGGATACTATGGACATGACCTCCATGTTATTATTTCCTGAAATTCAAAAAGTTAAACAAGAAAGTCTATATTTTGATATTAAAGTTTCATGGTTTATTATAGAAGCGGGCAATGTGGAGTTAAACTGCAAATTTGTTTCCTAAGCATAGTAGTTAAGATTAGCTTTCTTTTTCGCTTGCACCTCCATGATAGCATCCATGAAGTCTTCATGCGTCACCGAGGTGGCGGACCGGCGCAAAGCGATCATTCCGGCCTCGACGCACACAGCCTTACACTGGGCGCCATTAAAATCGTCCGTCGATCGCGAGAGCTCCTCAAAGTTGACATCGGTGCTAACGTTCATTTTGCGAGAATGGATCTGCATAATGCGGGCGCGAGCTTCCTCATTGGGATGCGGGAACTCGATCTTGCGATCCAGACGACCGGAACGCAGCAGTGCAGGATCTAGAATATCCACACGATTGGTGGCTGCAATAACCTTGATGTCTGCCGTGGAGCTGAAGCCATCCAGTTGGTTCAACAACTCCAACATGGTACGCTGCACTTCACGGTCACCGGCCTTCTCAGAATCGAAACGCTTGGTACCGATGGCGTCCAACTCATCAATAAAAATGATAGCGGGTGCCTTTTCCTTGGCCAGAGCGAAGGCATCGCGCACCAACTTGGCACCATCTCCAATAAACATCTGCACCAGCTGCGGGCCGGCCAGCTTGAGGAAAGTTGACTTCGTTTGGGCGGCGCAGGCACGAGCCAGTAGAGTTTTTCCCGTTCCAGGTGGGCCGTAAAGTAAAACGCCTGAAAGGAAACAGTAGTTATACGGTGTTATTGCATTGCCTGAAGGGATCTAACCTTTGGGTGGATGAATGCCAAGGTTCTTGAACTTTTCTTTGTGGGTCATAGGCAGTACCACCGCCTCGATCAGCTCCTGGATTTGCTTGTCGAGGCCACCGATATCTGAGTACTGCTCTGTGGGTCTCTCGTCGACCTCCATGGCCTTAACACGGGCATCGTACTCCGCCGGTAAAGTCTCGAGGATCAAGTAAGAGTCCTTGTTGACACCCACAAGGTCTCCGGGCTTCAGTTTCTCCGCATCTACGAGACCGATGACGGGCAGGAAATAGGCCTGACGCGTGGATGTTTTGATGACGGCGCACTTGCCCTTGCGTTGGTTGTCCAAAACCGTAACTGATCCGTCATCTTCCTCCTCCTGCGGGTCGACGTCCAGCAGCTCTATGACATTTGACACCAGGTAAGGTAGCGTCTTGTTAACCTGTAAGGGATCGAAAGGTATAGAGTGGGGTTTCCAGCTTGCTAGTGGCTACCTTTATTTTCTCGGTGTTATCCTTGATCTTCTCGTTCTGTGCCTGAATCTCGTGTGTGATTCGCATCACCTCGCTTTTCATGATCTTGATCTCGTTGTCCATCAGGCGAGTCCTGCTCACAATCTCATCGGTGGACATACGCATCACCTCCTCACCCAGCGACTCTTCTCCATCCTCCCATATAGACTTGTCCTCCAAAGTCTGTGCCATGTCTATTTAGTACTCCGGCTCTTTTTTGACTTGTACTTCTTTGTTTAAATCACTAAATTGCCGATCTTTTCGCGTATACTCTTGTCGATGACTTGTAAATTTTCTTGTTTTTTTCTGAGCCAAGTTGACAGCCCGGCCAGTGTTGATAAACCTTGGCGATAGGTAAGCGGCGCGCGAGACTATCGGTAAGTTCTATCGGTACTTGCGATAGTGCAGCGATAGTCCCACTAGTATTTACCTACACTGGCTTACTTTGCAGAGAACGCTCTTTTCGGGAAAAGATTTGGCAATTTATATTTACAAATTGCAGATAACACAGTCTCCTTCTTTTGCGATGTCCGACAATAATGGTAAGTACTTCCCGTACAACTGATAAATGGTTGTAGCTTCGAAATACCGAAGAAACGAAGTTCTAGTGCTTTGGCCGCCTCTTTAAACAGAATCTTGTTTTTTTTTTTCCTTGTCAGAAGCGTCAGTCGAAAGTAACTGTTTCCGCGGTGGCTTCACGTTGAAGGCCTCACGACTGGGCGGCGCCGTTCTTCGTCCGGCTGTGCTGGCTAATAGTAGCGGCTCCAACAACAGCTCCACATCGCCGTCCCGCCCAGGCGAAAAGCCTGAAGACGATGGACTGCTGAACAATCCGTTTCTGCGGGAAGCCAAGGACGAGGATGAAGAAGAGGATCCCGCCCCGGTGGCCGAGTCCTCCAGCGAAAAGGCCGGCGATAAGGAGAAGGAAGAAGAAGCCGACGAGCGGCCGGATCCGCTGACCAAGTTGCGGAGCAACGGAATTGAACGTTCCAGCATGTTTGGGGCAGCTAAGACTAACATGCCCCACGTACAGAGCAGTGGCTTCGTTTTTGGCCAAAACGTACATGAGCGCGTGGTGGCTCCCCTACCGGAGCAGGCCATCGCAGAGCAGCCGAAGGAGGCCGAGGCAGCTGCTTCCTCGTCTTCCTCCTCCGTTTCCCTCTTTTCAAGTGTCATCCAGAACGCCGCACAGACCACAGATTCCAGCGAGGCCGCTGCCTCATCCTCCAGCTGCAACAGCAGCAACAACAATAAAGAGTGTGCTGAGGCCAAGAGCCTGAACGATGTGGCCCGCGAATACGAGGAGAGTCGCGCCCAGAAACGAAAGTACGAGGAGGTGGAGACGTTCACCGGCGAGGAGGACGAGAGCAACATTATCGACGTAAGCTGCAAGCTATTTGCCTTTGTGAACAGCAACTGGGAGGAGCGCGGTCGTGGAAGTCTGCGCCTCAACGACTCCAAGAACGGACGCGGCAACTCGCGCGTAGTCTTTCGCACTTCCGGCAATCTGCGCCTGTTGCTCAACACCAAAGTGTGGGCTGCCATGGTGGCGGAGCGTGCCAGCCAGAAGTCCCTTCGACTGACAGCTATTGATAATTCGGGCGCCGTAAAGATCTTCCTGGCCATGGGCCGTCCGGCAGACATAGCCCAGCTACACAAGGCCCTCAGTGAGCGGATTGCCCAGCGTAAGATATCGCATCCCGAGGAGTGCTCCGTCGAAGAGACGAAAAACGGTGTGGGCTCCGACTCATCCGCCAGCCTGCAGCCGGAGTCGACGACCCACGATGACGACGATGAGGATGGAGGGGCTTCAGGAGCCGGATCGTCGCGAACTATTGCCGCCGAGGCGGACAGCAACGAGCCGAGTCCCAAGAAGGCACTTGTCCAGCCCGACAGCAGTGCCGACGTTCAAGTGCCTAGGATTGGACAGGGGGAGGAGGAGAATGAGGAGGAGGCCGACGCCAATGCCGAAGCCGAGGCCAAGGAGTCCCTGGATGAGAATTAACCGCCGCTTGCTCTTGTTTTTTTTTTGATACACGATTCTTACTTGGAAAAACCCATACACCCGAAAAACCAACCCGATAATGATTGAAACGAGAAGTGAATTATTATAAATTAATTATAATAATTTATTAATAATTATCATTATTAAAAGTAAAATAAATGAAGTGCTGATTTGCTGATTTGTAAACCCGTGAGCAGCGTCTACAAAAGACATTTATCCATTACGTACGTTTTGTGTTTATAATTTTAGTTAACAAAAAACGAAAACAGAAGTTAAGAGATATCGATATCTGAATCGCCCTAATTAAATGTTTTAATTTAGTTACTCTATACAAACCCTATGTACTACTTTTCGCTTAGGAAATACTTTATACAAGTTCATCGCTTGCACTAGTCCTGGTCATCATAGCTATCATATCGACTGAATCCTGGACCCACTTGCCGGATCTTCGTTCAGTATTTGTATGGAAGGTAGATTTAAAAAAATGATACAATCTAGTAGCAGTAGTGGAAGTAGCAGTAACCCATCCTCTGCTCATTGGCCTGGCCAATCATGGTATTTATCAAGCAATTTGTAAAACATTCAACTACAAGGTAACGCCTAAGTAAAGTCAGTTGCAACGCCTGGCCTGCCTGGTTACAGGATCTATGTACAAGGGGGATGAGGGCGGTGGTTGGGCCCGACAATGCCCGATCTTAGCTAATGGTGCTGCAGCTGGACACGGTCACGTTCAGGGGATTGTTGGCACCACTCACAGCGATGGAGGACCTGCAAGAAAAGGGGTTCTTTAGGTACTGGAATTCACCTACTTCAGGTCCCGAGCACTCACCTATTGTGTCTCATGTGACTCTTGACTAGATCGCTGTTGACCAGCGCTGCCATCAGACTCAGTTCACCCGCCATGACTGTGGCGCACACGATCTGCGCCAGCTTCTTGGCATTGTCGCCCGGCCGGGTGGCGTGCGCTCCTCGGACGCCGAGCATTTCCAGACAGGCGCTCTGACCGGGCAATCCCGTGCCACCGCCCACCGTGCCCACTTCCAGGGACGGCATTGTGCAGGTCATGTAGAGGTCATCGTTGTTCTCCACCCAGCACTCCATGGCCGTGGAGCAGTTGCTGGAGGTGACGTTCTGGGCGGGATCCTGTCCAGTGGCTAGGAAGACGGCCGTGACCATGTTCGCCGCGTGGGCATTATTGCCACCGATGCTGCCAGCCATGGCGCTGCCTCCCATGTTCTTCAGCTTGTTGCATTCGACCAGGGTCTTGGCATCAGTCTTCAGCACGGAGCGCAGCGTCGCCGCCGAAATGGTGCACTCGGTGACCACGCGCTTGCCTCGTCCCTTGATCCAGTTGATGGCCGCCGGTTTCTTGTCGCAGCAGAAGTTCCCGCTGAGCGAAATGATCTGCATATCGGGAAACTGGCGCTTGATCCTCCTCAGCGCCTCCTCCGCTCCCTTAGACACCATGTTCATTCCCATGGCGTCGCCAGTGGTGGCCACGAATCGGATATACAGCTGCGGTCCATCCATAGCAATGTGGCACTCCTTCAGCCTACCGAACCGAGACGTGGAGTCGAATTCCGTCTTCACTTGCTGGTAGTTGGTCTCGTTCTCGATCCATGCCTTCGCCTCCGCGGCTCGGGCCACGCTGGGAAACCTGCAACAGGGCGCCCGGGTCATGCCCACATCCTCCACCACCGAGCGAACGCCGCGCACTGACAGCGCCTTGCAGCCACGGTTCGTTGAGGCCACCAGAGCTCCCTCCGTGGTGGCCATAGGCACGTAGTAGGTCTCTCCGTCCAAGAGGAGGGGGCCGGCATAGCCCACCGGGATGGGCACGTAGCCGAGCACGTTTTCGCAGCAGGCGTTGAGAACCTTGCGGTAGTCGAAGTGCTCATAGGGCAACCCCCCAAGGCGCTCCACCGGCATCTTGGCACGTCCGGCGATTATCTGCCGGCGGATGCGTACTCCTCTCTCGGCATCGTCCAGCACGGACTCGATCTTGTAGAGCGGACAATGGGGTCCTCCGGCGTGGACAATGGCAACGATCTCCTCATCACTCAAGGCGGCTGGTCCATTGAGATCCTCCGTGGAGTTCAGGATCTCCAGGCACTCTTGCAGCGGGCGGGGAGGACGAACCGGCAGGACCAGTGGCTGCTGGAGGGGAAGCAGTTCCGTCTGCGTGGTAGCATTTTTCGAACTCTGCTCCTCAATGGTGAAGAGTAGTTTCCGGACTGCGCTCTTTTCCGGAGCAATCTCTTGCGTCTTAGGTTGATCCACGAGGTCCTGCTCCTCAATGGGCGTCGTCTGCGAGGCCTTGGCCGCAATGGCCACAGTTCCGGACTGACGCATCTGATCTGGGAGGGGATCGCGGTTATCGAAGCATATGAACTTGATCACCAGAGCAATGAGGACAATTGAGATGACGATGTGATCGGCGCTCATGGTCAGCCATCTGGAAGAGTAGAATAGTCTATTATTGGAGGCAATTAATCAGAAAGATGCAGTGGATGTGGATCGATAGGCTATTAAGTAAGTGAGCTTCTACTCTCGAAGGCTTTCATAAGAGCTTTAATAGCTCCACAGGTAACTATTTCCAGACACAGATGGTGTTACGTGGATTTGGTTTCAGGTTAAAGCTAATTCCAGAAACTCACTTGATGATGATGTCCGTAATCTCGGCCGACTCCGTCCGGTTGTTGCTCACGTTCAGGCTGAGGGTGGGCGTGAGGGTCTTGTCCACGGAATCGTAGTCGCTTCCGGAGAAGGCCACACGGCTGTAGATGTGGACGGCCATCAGTCCGGTGGTCATGATGAGCTTGACACGCTGCAGCACCGGATTGGCCTTCTGCTCCTCCTCGGTGAGGGATTTCAGCAACAGCGAGCCCTTGGCCTTCTCCCTGACAACGGACATATCCACGCCGGAGCGGGAGAGGTCAAAGATCAGCGACAGGCAGGCGGGGTAAAAGGTCATGAAGACCACATAGTTGACCAGCACAGAGAGCACGGCAAACATGCAGAGCACCTCCAAGCGCTGGACACCCGACAGCGTGCCCACGCCCACCAGCAGCACCTCCACAATCGTGTCCAGGGAAATGGCCGGGCCCAGGAGCTCCAGACCCCGGGCGATGTTCTGGGTGACCTCGGCTTGGTTGCTGCCGGACAGAGCCAGCTGGGCGAGGCGGCCCGAGTTGGACAGGTCGATGACCAGCAGGAGGAAGAACAGGGCGTCCCTGAAAGTTTATAGAAAGAGAATTTCGTTGTAAATCAAATTAGCACACTGCCCCACAAAGGCCATCAGGCCACCAGCCAGCAAACAATGTTTACGCGAACACCATTGTTAATATTAAAGGCCGTTCATGGGAAATTTTGGAGCAGTACCAGGCACTGTAGGGTCCTGGTCCGAATAGCAAATCATACTCACTTGAGGTCCGAGATGTCGCTGCCAAGGAACTTGATGATGGCCGTCGTGAAGATGAAGCTGGAGAAGACCGTGAAGAGGCCGGCTATGCCTGAAATGAAGAAGGGAACCAACCATGAGATGGACGCGTCTGCCAGCGGAGGTCGAATCGTTTAGAGCGCACGTGAGAAATGCCAGGGAGCCGGGCTGCCGGACTACCTGCTGCCCCACCTCTAAAAACTTGACCAAACATTCCAGTCTTGTTTGCCCCCCAAAAATAGTTCGGGGTGGAGATGGAGACAGGCCGTGCCAGCATTCTAACCACTTGGGTCAACACACGTGCCCCACAGCGAATCTGGCACAGTGATGTAACCCCCCCGGAGGAGGAGGAGGAGGAGGCACACTCACCTAGTACGTATTTGGAGCCCATCCGGTGGAGGCTGCAGAACTGGTAGTAGCAGTAGAGCACCGCGGTGCACCGGACGATGGTCATCAGTATGACGTCGGCGGCATTGTACTCCGCTTCCAGACCATCGCAGGACTGGCTCCAGCCGTGGCAGGGTCTGTGCCGGCTGGAAGTGGCCGATCCACCCAAAACCGGGGGCGGACTAGTACCGGCTGCTGTTGCTGCTCCGGCTGCTGCGGCGGCGGATGCTGTGCCCAGGCCATTGCCGCTGGCATCCAGGGTGTTGTTCTTGTCCACCGTCAGCATGCAGGCCGTGATGGTGAGGAGGGCCACGATGACCTCCCAGGGATGCGAGGCGCAGAACTCGCCGTGGGCGCGAAACAAACGTCCAATCATGACTGCGATGGGTCCGATTCCCGTCCAGATCTGGCCAATCTTGGCTGGCTGTGGAAAAAAAGAACAGGGAAATCCGCTTGTCAGTTAATACAGTTTCGTTTATTATTATTTTTTCCTATTTCCTGCTATCGACTAGCCAAGGACGTTGGGGCCCAGGATGCGGCCAGGCCAGTCAACCCTAGCAATGGCACATGGATGGGAAAAGGGAAAGGGCTATGTGGCTATATCGATTCCACTGTTGACACATTCAAAGGGCTCCGAGCGATAACGAGGCCAGAAAGGCCAGAAATTCTCGCCCAGGAACACGTTTATTAAACTAATCGGATTTGCCAGCTTGGAAGTCCAGGGCTTGAGCGTCCTTGAGCTCTGGCAACAGCCCCTCCCCGTTCGAAGCAATGCAAATCCATGATTGATGGCTTAAGCCGGCCCGGCCCGGTCCGCAAGTTCCGCATTCGAGTCCGAGCCAGGTTTAATTAAGCCATCGAGCGGGCAGACGCCCTGCCGGCCATCGCTCGCCCACCACGTGCCCGGCATAAAAACTACATACTATCCTGGTGTCTAGTGCTGCCTCCCAGTTAGACAACGCGCCATAAATATTCAAAAACAGTCTCCAGTCTCCGCCTTTTAGTTGCGCCGGCGCACCACGCTATCTATCTGGTGGCCATAAACAATGTTTTCCATTTTGTTGTAAAAAACATGAGAGAGAAAAAAAAACCCAACAAATAAATATGTTAAATAAATCAAATGCCACTTTGGCCAGAGACGACATGAGATTCCGGGAGACTTCAAGATCGAGTATCAAAGTAATCCGAAGCCTTGGGGGCCATAAACCATTCCAGCACTCAAGGAGCTGACATCCTTTTAAAATGTTTATGGGACTCTACACTGAAAGGATGCTTGAGGAGCCTCCAAGGGCTATGATCTGATTTCCAATGGAATGTTTCAAACGGAACTAACGAATATCAATTTAAGAACATGATGTTTCATATTCTTCCAGAATTTTTAGGGCTTTTTTTATTGGTCTAGGGGGCAGTGGCAACAGCTGAGGCGGCCAGGCGCGATCGTCAAAAGAGCGAAACATAAACAATCTCCTTCAGTATCCAAAACAACAAAAATTAATGTTCCTTCAACTCATTGGATTGTGGCTAGCAATTGCCGATCGACTTTATTTTCGGCAGATGGATGTTTTATGGCCGGAATGGAGGCCCCTCTAGAGCTCCAAAGGCCAGGGCCTGGGGCTCCACCGAGCTCCGAGTAGATCAAGATCATTTTCCGGGGAAAAGAATGAGCTGCAAAGTGCATAAATCGCTTATGAAGTGATCTTCGACCATCCTCGTTTATTTTGCTTACTTGGGGGAATGGAAATTCCGTTTGGATTTCCAGTAAGCGCCAATTTCACAGAATTGTGGCTCCAAGTTGAGGCACGTACTTGTTAAAATAAATAAAATAGACAAATATTTATCAAATGCTTGTTTGGAATTATGAGTTGGACTTTCTAGTTAACTTTGACCTCTGATGGCCTGGTTTTTGAAGCATTTCCTTGTTTTTTTCAGCCACTAATTTTCTTCAATTTCCGGCGTTGGAATTGAAGGCAATTGATGATCGAATGACAAACAGCCTTTTGTTGTCCCTGCCTGGGGTTGTTTGCTATTAAAAGTCCATCAAATCGGTGCGAAGTAAATGACTCCACTCCTCTGATCTTCCCCAGCTTATAAATAGAGTGGAGATCTTGCTAAATCCACGAAGAATGAACAACATTTTTCATTTTCATTTCCATTCAAATGTTTATTTTGAAGCCCCAACCGAAGTGGCAGAATAACGAGGGCGCCTGCCGCTAATATCTCTTGAATGGCGAAATGTTTAAATTTAGACACTGGCCTGGCCTGGCTGGACGGCAGGAAACCAAAACTGTAACTAAAATCTGGAAATCTTAAGAGAAGTGCCTATGGCGCTGCTTTTTGGAAGGAAGTCCCGGAAGGCCAATAATGGGGCGGTGGTGCGACGGGTTAAGACCTTTTCATTTGGCAACAAATGCTCTGCCTGGGAAGTGTGTGGTGTGGTGTAGTGTGTGTTGCATTGTTTTGCATACTTTTCTTTTTTTTTTCTTTATTTTTTCTGTTTTTCGTTTACATTTGAAAGCACTCGCCGAACGGATGTTGCGGCCGACCTCAACCTTATGGCCAAACAAAGGGTGGAGGAGGCTGGGTCTTGAGTAGGGGAATAACAACTAAAATAAATACAAGTATATATACTGGTATGTATGTACTTCATGTACATATATGTTTATGCGGAAAGAAACTTAGTCAAATATGAAGCACAACTCAACAAAGAAGCGACAGATACCCAAAGTCAATACCTAAAACCAAAGTACTCTGAGTACTCCCCCTTAAAAAAAGGTTAAGATATTCGAAGTTCTTAAACTCTTAAGTGGTATAATTGTTTATAATTACCCCACTGGGATGTCCTCTTTATACTTCTTGAGAAATTGACAGGGCAATCCCCAATTGTCATTGTTTGTGGAGCTTGGCACCCTCTTGGAAACGAAATTCTGCGAAAATTTCGAGCTACGCGTTCGGCATTTGCATTTCCCAAATGGAACTGCCATCGCTCAGGCCCCCAGGCACCCAGGCCCCCAGTCAGTCCCCAATTAATATGTATGCCCACCAATGGGTGCGGTATGATCTCCTCATGCGTCATCATCAGTCTTCTGGTTCGTCTGGTTTTTCGGGAGTGGGAGCTATGGGTTTTCCTGGAATCTTCAATACACACAGTACACTTTTATTTATGGCCGGCCACGGTGATTTTCCATATAATTCTGTATTGTTTTTTGCTGGCAATTAGCACACGAGAATTAGCACAACGTTGCTAAGATATAAATCACAACCAAACCATGATCGAGTTAATTCAATTGATCTCTCTTTGGATTAAAATTTAAAAATATTTCTTCATAGCCGGAAAAGTGGAAAGGGTTATGAGTTTTCCTGCCATGTCCTACAATTGTTTTCATCAAAAAACACGTATTCTGCATTATTTTGGATTGGAATTTGCAAAATATTTTCTTTATTTTTGATTTGCTGCGCAATCGCCAATCAAATTATTGCAATTAACGCCTCTGATTTAAGATGGTTTGTTGTGCTTTTCTCAAAACTTTGGACTTTGATTTACGAAATTTCAGGTATACCCATAGGTATACATCAAAATAAATAAATATTGTACTTTCCCACAACCTCCCATGGACCAATAGACCAGGCAGGCCGATGATTCGCGTCAGTCACATTTGTTTATGAGTCTTACCAAAGTGCTGAGCATTTAATGGCCACAGTTGGTTTATTCCATTTTGTTTAGGCAATGAGGAGGCCAACACACAAAAAATAAAAATAAATGTGCCAAAAATTATAGCCAAAGTTAAACAATCGGGGACAGTGTGATTTATGATTTAGGGAGAAGGCGAAACAGCAGGTTGGTTTCCCAAAAGTCCACCAATGTCCAGCCAGGTTTCATCCCCAAACTTTAGGGTGGCGCCTCCCTCCCTACGTGGGTCTGCATTAATTAAATGTTTAAATGTAATTAATGTTTTAGGAACTTTGGCAGGGTTTTATGGATGAAGTATGTATTTTTAAAAGTAAGTCTATCTAGTAACCATTCGAAATCGCAAGAATGGCCTGCCAAACCGGATGAATGCTTCCTAAGAGTCTGCCAATCTTGATTCTTGCAACATGTTGGCTTCTTCGGTTCTTCGCAAATCTACTTAACCTGTCTGGAGTCTAGACTGCCATAAACTAGCATGACTCAGGAGGCCACTTGCTCTACTTCTTTTTTGATGGAGTTTAGATGGTGATTCATCCAAAGAGTTCCTCTTTAAGGCAATCGGAATTGGCGTGGGATTGAGGACAACTAATTACAATGATAGCTAATGGTGGCAAGATTGATAGAGCAGCTGGGTAAGTGACGACCCAAAAGGGGGTTAAGCGGGATTGATGGGCAAGTGTTGTCGAAAGTGGCCCTATTTGTGGCGATTAGATAGTAGACAAGGTTATAACCAGATATCAGATATTATAGTCGAATATATATGTAGATCAGGGTTTGATATTATAGGTTATCTACCTACTGCTGCCAAAATGCGAAATTCTAATCAAGCCCTAATCAATCCCCCCCAGCCATTAGCCGATAAGACCCCGAAGAGAAAATTAAAAAATAAATCTGAAACAATTTTGTTAGCTTTTTTTTTGTAATTTACAAGTTGCCGAAACAAAAAGTAAAAGTTGTCGTGTGGGGCAAACAAATAAATAAATTAATAAAACGACACACTCCACTCGAAGACAGTCTTACTTTCTACCAAAAAAAAAAACAAAAAAACAGCGAATGCTGCTAATTTGTATGCAGCCCCCAAAAGAAGCCCCCTCCCAAAAAAACATAAGTTTTTTCAAAACCCGGAGAAGCAAAGAAACAAAAGTTAAACCCAAACCCACAGACTTTGCACATCAAAAGATTTTTGTTCCACAAAAAGTTACAAACAAGAAAAAGTCTTTCAAGATGTTGGATTTTTAATTTAAAAGTAAATCAATGTTAGGGGAGATACTTCCCAGATCTGCTGGCCTGTCAATGGGCTTTGTTAATCAGGTGCTCCAGCATCGCGGTATCATCATCAGCTTGACATTGACCCACTTAGTCTTGGGCCAGTTGGCTGGCTGGCTGGTTGACTATTTGGCCATCTATCGCTATTGACCACAAAGCCGTTAACCGATCCAAAGAGCAATCGAAATACCAACAACTGCCGGAGGAGGAGGGAAAAACCGGAACCGTTCGCAATGAAATAGAAAGTTTTTTTTCATTCGGGGCTGAGGTTGAGGCTGAGGGTTTGGGGTTTTATGGCCAAACGTTGATTGAAATGAAAAGACTGTGGGGATTGATTAGAAATCTCAAGTGGCAGAATTTAATGGGCGCTTTCTTTACACAGACTCATTGAAACTGGAATGAAGGCAATGCCTTTTGAATAAATTAAGTAGCTTTACCTTCCTTTCAAGGGGGGGATTATATTCTCGCACTAT